ACACAGGGTGCATATTGCAACATATTCCCCCCAGTCCAGGTATAAGGGGAGCGAAGGCCATTCCCTCGTGGAAACTGGATAGGTAAGGGGTAGTGCAAGTGTCATTGAGAGGCGACGGGGTTAAAATAAACTAGGAGAATGGTAATAGAGCGAAAATAACAACGGATAATCAAGGCAAGACAAGAAGACCTCGCACTACCTTATATGTAGTTATTGATAGCGCGTCGCGTCGCGTGTTCCAAATAAGGGAATATATATTGCTTTTTCTAATACGTCCGTAATTTCCATGGATAGCTGTGGATTGGCACTAGTGCTAATCATACGTATATCTGAAGGATTACAGATGCGGGCTGGGGATATTCTATGGGATACAGGAGGCATTTTTTGTTTAATAAGGAAATTGATGATGAAAGTCTACGAGAGTGAGCGAGAGCACATTTAGCTGAAAGCACAGTGGAGTAGAATGTGGGCTGTAATAGCGCGACAGGTCTCTGCAGCCCACCGAAGTCTTTACTATGGGGTGCACGGACAAAAAGTGTGAACTGTGTCACACTTCCGAAGAGACTAGAACAGTAGGGAAATGGCGAATAAGCTACGGGTCCGGCTAGACCCAGCAGATAATACCTGCTGCTTTACCTGCTTCCTGCCTACTAGGCTATGCAAGGGTGGATTGCTTACTGAGGGGTCTGGTTGCTTTTCAGCGGATCTGCTGACGATCTTTTGGAGCCTATGTAGGATGACGTGGATGGATAATGGTGATGAGATGGATATTCCCTTTCTAGATACTGATTTGGTGCCGAGGGGTTGGTTACCAAAGGATTTCGCGGATGCTAGGTGGGAGTTAGATACTGAGATAGTTCTGGCGGCCTGGGTGTTTTATAATTTTGCTAGGGGCTATTGGGCGAAGCATAGATACTAGGCTATATAGCTAGATAGTGGTACTATAGCTAATGTTAGCTATAGCCTAGCCTATAGTAGGCTAGGCCTTTAGTAGGGTGTGCCCCTTAGTAGATAGTAGGCTATGCCCTTAGTAGGGCGGGCACCTAGGAGGGCGGGCACCTAGGAGGGCGGGCACCTAGGAGGTAGGGCCCTTAGTATATTGCTTAGTATATTATAAGGGTCCCCGCTTAGCAGATAGTAGGCTAGCACTCTAGTAAGGTGCCCCCGCTACAAAACTGCTCCCGGTGGCAGGGTGCCCCCGCTGCTAGACTGCCCCCGGTGGCAGGGTGCCCCCGCTGCTAGACTGCCCCCGCTGCTAGACTGCCCCCGCTGCTAGACTGCTCCCGGTGGCAGGGTGCCCCCGCTGCTACACTACCCTTAGTGGCAGGGTGCCCCCTCTAGTAAGGATAAAATACTAAATCCTTCGATTACTCAGCGACTACTAGGGCTACTAGGCTGCTAATAGTATCCAAATAATACCCGAAGCGAGGGCTATGCAGCTATAATAATCTTGATTAGTCAGCAGTCAAAAAATTTCTAAACCTATTCAACCTCATTTTCACCAAGGCCCGGGGGCAGTCACGTGACAGGGATAGCCTCACATACTAGAAGGGCCCTCAACCTACCGAGGATTTCACTCCCGGATAGAATCGTATAGCTAGATAGCTAGATATCGCGAAGTAGGCTGGCCAGCAACTGGCGAATAGAGACCACTACGGCCTGATTGCTAAGGCCACGAATCTAGGCTTAGCAAACCCCAGCAATTTGGCGGGCCGAATCGGGTCTAGCCTACCCGCCGGCCCTGGCCTTGGCATCCCCCATCAAAAAAATCCCAGCCAAAAGGCCCCCCTTAGGGTAAGGCCCTTCGACGTGATAATCGTGGAATATTATTTGACATTTAGATTGGACTAATTATTCAATTAAAAGATTCCAAAAATCCGATCAAAAAATATCAAGATTTCGGGTACTTGGGGGGGGGGTATCGTATAACCCCAATACCCCCCCCCCTCGCCCCACTTTCTTAACTATGAGTACCCCCCCGGTATTGGGCCGGAATACCTTTAGGCTAACGGCAGCCTCGAAGCCCTTCGGGCGATAACAGGTTCGGTATAGGGTGCCTTACTTGCGGCGATACAGAAGGTCTACTAAGCGGTAATAGTGCTACAGATACTCTACAGGATATCTGCGTAGTACTGCCCTGCTATAAGGGCTATGCCTGTATAGGAGATAAAACGCACAGTTTAACAAATTCACTAAAATTCAACAGCGTGCGGCGATTCTTATTAGCAGGGCCTTTAAATCAACTAGTGCAGCAGCACTCAACGTAGAGCTCTTTATTACACTAATACACCTACTTATAGATCAAATCATCCAGGAAACAGCAATCCGAATCTAAGCAGGTGCTACGTAGGCCTAGCCGGAGTGTCTACGTCGACAGCGATCTCCCGGGGAGATTAAAAAAGGAGGATAGAGCCATCTCGAAGCCCTTAAATAGAAGAGAGACAGTATTTTGAACTAGCAAGGGACGTAGGAATCGCGGAAAGCGTTTGTTCTAGCACTATAGGAGGCACAGATCCTATACGTTATCGACTAGGATACCGAGGCTACGCAAGCCTCGTATAACAAGATTAAGACGGAGTCTCTGTTCTAACAGGCCCTCTCAGACTATACCCCGACAGTTACACAGGATCGCCCCTAAACGATTCTGTTCTTTATAGATAGTAGTGGATATAAGGGTATAGTAGGTACCTCGGCTGTTGCCCTGTATAAGGGTATCTTCGAACAGCAGCACCTAGGAACTACCGACGAGTCTATAATGTACGTTACCGAGCTCAACAGCATTGAAATAGCGATCGCTAGATTCGTTAACCAACAACAATATAGTATAGGGCCTATAAGGATAGTTATCTTCTCTAACTACTAGGCTGCTATCTAGGCGGTGCGAAACCTAAAGCGATCGTCGGGCCAGTTCGTGCTACAATCTATTTATAACCACGTACGAACCCTTCGATCACTACAGCAAACGCCCACGTTCGATCAGATTCCTATCGAGATCCGCTAGATCCCTGTATACGTAGGCGTTCCTAGTAATAAGACTACCGACGTTAAAGCAAAGTTAGCAGCAACGGAGGGGAGAGTAGAGAACGGAGCGGAACAACCCTACCCCGAGGGGTCCGCGGGTCGAGTCCTTCTAGCAGCGACCGCGAAGCGTCGAGTACAGCGACGTATTAAAGAGAGATAGGCATAAGAGTAGGCAAAGGAGCGAACTAGTAAACCGAACCAGCGGTTAGTTAAAGCTCCAGACAAGAAGGTGCTTCGGCTGTTCGAATCCCTTTCGAAGCCGTACACATCAGTGCTAATTCAGATACGATCGATACGCATCGCACTGAATCACTTTCTGTTCAAAATCAAGGCGGTCGAATCAGATAAGTGTTACTGCAGTGAAGGGTCTCAAACACCGAGACATATCTTAATACAGTGCCCGTTGTACGCTGATTTAAGGCAGACCTTCCTTGACAAGATCCGGATAACCGATCTTAGGGATTCGACGGATTCCGATGCAATCGTATCACACTCGCAGGCCACCCGCTACGTAGCCGAATTCATACTTCAAACAGGCCTACTGGGACAGTTCCGGCACGTCGAGATCGAGCCGGAGCCACCGCATAGCGACGAAACAACAGGCCAGGATAGACTGGCAGGCACAGGGGGTGAAGACGCTGGGTAGGAGGAACGCTAAACCCACGGCCGACCGAGAGGTCGTGGAAGAATACATCTAACACGTCGACACTAGTCGACAACGAACGCCACCAATTAAGAACGAAGCAGGAGAGATACCGGGGATGGAGATACGGAGGAAGCGGCAGGCCAATGTGAGGGCAGATTGAGGGATATATCGTGGGACTGAGGGCTTGGAGGGCGTTTTGATACGGTTTTGGACTGATTTTTGGGCTGATTTCTATGGCAAGACGCCGTTTTCCTATGTATTTACTGTTTCATGCGCGGGTCTGGCGTTCGGATCACTCTTGCTTCCGCCGGAGGGAGCGCCTGCATAGCCATTACGCCACTAGTTAGGCTGCAACAGGTTAATAGAGCGTTGATTGATTGATTGATTGATTGAAGAAGGAGAATCATAAAAACTAGCAGGGTTGATTGTCTAGTTAAATATTATCTTATGTAACACGTTAGAACCATCGGTCTAGATGTTCGGATCAACTATATCTCCGTCGGTTGTCGGAGCTGAGGATCAGGCCAATGCATTGCTTTGGTGGACAAATTTCACCACGAATGTTCATCTTTAGACGATCTCATCGTTCGACTGTTCCGGCGAAGAGACTGGTTGGGGAACGACGCCTTGAAATAAGACATACACTGTTGCGTAGCAGATAGGTGTACTGGAATGGCTATTCTTTTCTAGTGAGTTCGATTTTGAACATGAAGAAACCGAAAATTGTTCATTTTTAATTCCCTTCATTGAAATCGACTTTTTGTCAAAAACGTTACGGCTTAAAGAGAACGCTCTCGTCTATTCTCGCGGTAAGATTATCATTAGACGTGGCTAGCACCTCGGATATACAATCGGCCACTAACTCCCAATGACTGCTACAACCACCTCCCGATCTAAACTTCACTCGCAAAATAATGCAAGGCGCCAAAAACAAGGCCGTCCCAAATCCAACCTGATGAAAAAAGCTTGTGAATATAGTAAGATGTGTGACGCAGACGTTTGTTTGGGTATACGGCTTCGGGAGACGGGCCAAATGTTTCTCCTGTCGGCGGATGGTGTAGGGGTTTGGGGGTTCCTTGGCACACAGCTAGTAGGTTACAGATCTTTCGGCCGGAAGGAAAAGAACGCTGGCACCCCAAGGACTCTTACTGTACAGTCGGTTGGTTGGTTGGTAGATGCCATTTACGCTGACCACTCGCTCGAGAGCCATATGCAGCATACGACTACTATATATATGTTTACGTACATGTAGGGTGTTCCACTTCCTGAAAAACGAATCTTACTGTACAGTACCACTCCATGTGCTGACACTGTATATTTTCGGCTACTCAGATTAGTCGAAAGGTTGTCCAGTCTGTGTCGTCATCGACCATTCCTATGTGGAGCAACTCATGGCAGAGGCATTCACCAACAAATCTAAATGAGCCGTCCGTGCCGTCAACCTTGCGAATAACGAAAGGAACATTGGCCCCCTTTATCACGCATATCATGTCGCCAACCTGGGCTGTCTCCGGGGCCCAGGTTACTCCTCCAGCTTTAGTGACAGCCAGTCTTCGGCCCACAGCGACTGATCGGATGGCTCTAAAGAAGCCCTCGTTATGCTCCGTGATCGTGGCCCCTGGGGCAATACCTCCCTCCTCGAGGGCCCCCTTCAACGCAGGTTCAGTCTTAGCACCGCTCTGTTGGGCGGCGATGAGAGCTAGAAAGGCAAAGTAGCACTGCCAAGTGGCTTTGCTCAGCCCGTCTGGTCGAACCTGCCAATCGTCGAACCACTGCATGAAATCGCGGATAATGTGCGTCCACGACTTGATGCGTGCCGGCGGGTTGGGAGTAGGCAAACTGTCGGGCATGGCCATAGTGCCTATCCAGACCCTATCATAGGCCTCTTTATCATCTCCCTTCGGACGCGGTTGGCGACCCGGAGTGGACTCGACACTTGTCTTCCCGCCCGTCAAGCTCATCCACTCTTCGTGGAGCTGTTTGAACCCTTGTACTTCCGATCGAAGCGTGGAAACGGCAGAAATGGTGTCAAAGATGCGACCTGCCAGCTTCAAAGCATTAGGGTCACTATCCTCCCAAAGTATGTCAGGGTTAGTCTTCCTTTTGCCTCCAAAAACTAGTCGGGGGCTAACCAAAGGCACAATGCGATCATCTAATCTAATTGAATAGTCAGGGACCCAGGAAGGGAGGCCGGTCACCCTGCTTCCCTGGCAGAATGCGTCGACGGATGAAAGCAAGTCAAGGCTCTGATCTTGGAGCAAACGCTGGACTGTAAAGGCACGGTAGGCTTCGGCTGTGGACAGGCTGTAGTCTGGACTGGCCAATGCTCTGCATTGGGGAACAGTGTGATCGTGACCCTCTCGTGCGCATGTCGAGTCGCAGCCATCACACTATCTCTTGTAAGAACTATGTTCATGCCTCCTCGGGCGTAACGAAACGAGGAAATTCACATACCCTTGGCGCCATATACTCCAGAGCCATAGCGTGGCATGGTTCCCCACCGGTGGTCATTATGGAGAGGGCAAGGAATATTTCGGCGGGCACGTGGCCTTCATCTTGCCGAAGACGTAAGTCGTTCTCGATATTTTCTGGTCCGATGTCGCCTCTGTCGTCCCCATTTTCTCCTGGGCTCGTCGGAACCTGCTGTTCACGCTAATCAGTCCCCTGAAAGTTTTGCTAACTGCGATAAGCTTCCACTAACGTCATTCACTCCGACCGTCTTGGACGAAACCTCACTGGCTGGCTCAGGACTATGCAGCCCCCGATCAAAATCCCTGTCAGAATCATAGTCGATGCTTCCGATACAAGACGACGAGTCATCTGCACTGCCTAAACAGTTCTGCATCCTTTCAACGGCCTCAATCCTGTTGCGAAGGTATGGCGTATCTTCTGGGCCATATTTGCCGTCGACGTGTGAAGTACAAATCTCTTCATACAGCCATAGACTAGATTCTAGATCTGTCGAGATACGACGAAACATGACCAATTCGTCTGAAGAGGCGATCTCGTCCGTATTCTTGTCCAAAAACTGCCGAATCGCTTTTTGTTGGAGATCGACTGCTTCCCACAACTTGGAGAACACGGCCGATCCGTCTTCCCGAGAGCCACCACCGCAGCTCTCGAGTACACACTCCAACAAGGTAATCACGGTCCTGTAGTAGTAATTGACGTGTTCCACCAAAGCATCCACCCGTGTGTTGGCGGAGCATACGGGTCCCAACCCTGCATGTTGCTCCCATTTTGTTTGCGCCCAGTTGATGGTCAACTTATGCATAAGAAGGGGGTCCGAGGTACCCAACCTCGCGAGCTCGTCTTTAGTAGCAGCGACGGGGACCTCCCCTAATGATACGGGACAATCAGTCCTGGGAAGGGCATAGAAGGCGAATACTTTGTCCAAGGGATTGGTGGACTCATATTCGCGTAGATCGTATGCCAGTCGATACGGATCTACTTTCCCAATTCTGAGTCCAAGGCGAGTCTGCATAGAGAGTTCGCAGAATAATAGCAGCCGCTTTGCCTCATCGAAGAACTCAACATGCTCGGATACAAAGCTTCTCATGACTGAACACGCCCAGCCTAGCGTTTCATAGGAGACGTACGGTCCAGTCAGAATATTGGGAGAGGGAAGCGATCCGCACAGGATTCTTGCATCTTTGGCGACAGCTGTTTCCACCACGCACCAGAGGCGACGGAAAATTGGGCGCTCAAGAAAGCGTACGAAGGATGTGATATTCTCAGACGATAGTACCTTAGACGAAGATCTGCCATGATTGATTTCTTCTACCATTCGTTGAACGACGGTGATAGCTCTGTTGCTGTCTCCATCGGCCTCACCAAGCCAAACTATCACGTTTGTAGCACGCCGGTAAATGCGGGGAATCATCTTCGCATGAGACGAACGCTCGATGACATTCTCCTGGTTGATACAGATTGTGTCAACCCAAAGCTTTACCGGCAGTCTCGCATGGCGGATTTGTCGAAGGGCGTCGCGAAGGCTGGTTGTGATCAGAAGTTTCTGACCTTCGCAAAAGAGAGGATGCCGAAATTCGTATGACTGCCTCAGTGGGGAATCGATCAATACTTTTTGGCCGGCCACGACTAAGTTTTCGTACTGAGACTCTATACCAGAGTAGGACAGTGCCCTGTAGGGAGGTAGCGTAAATGCATTGAGACGATAAGACTGAATATTGCATTCGAGAGCTGACGAGTCCGTTCCAGGAAGAAGCTCCAGTAGGCGGAAGTGGTCGGAAGTATTTAGATCTGTATAGGTGTATGTCGGGGTAGTGGAGTCAAATGTCAAGCGTTCGTTATCGCAAACGACTATGGCGGTGATACGCCGGCTCCCGTGGAGGGAAGGCATTGATTGCATGGCAATTATTGCACAGCGGGATTTATGCCCGACTGAACAAGATGAGGTTCACCCGAATTTGTGGGAACGCAGCAGGACACGTGGATACCAGGAGGAACGATGCGAGAGGAAGGGACCAGAACCACCCCTGACAGCTCCACTAAGCTTTTCAGGTTACAGACGGGCTCACCCTTCGGTGCCTACCTCAGCTCACCCCCACGTGATGAAAAACGGGGCTCAGCCCACCCAAGATTTCATTAATTCTAAAGTAGTTTAGCGCGCCGTAAATTATTTCGTTCGCACAATGTTTTTGAAAGATTTGAACTAGTTCTACATCCCCCAAAACCAGTTCCACGATGGCCGACCATAACGAAGATACTTCCTGGCTCGCTACGAGCGAGTTGAGGATTGAGGATCTTGTTGATCTTGATCTTTATGATCACTCTGAAAGTTCTAGAGAAATCCAGGCCCCTCACATACGTGCTTACGATGAGTTGATGCTTGAGCGGAGGGCTACTCGTGTTGGTGCGCATGAAGAAGTAAGATATATATGTTACCACCGCAGCTACTTTTGAACTACTTCTAAACTAGTTCTAGCACCCACCACTAACAATATTAACTAAATCCGGACGAATTTCTTCGTCTGCGCGTTATATTGAACATGTTGACTTTCTTCCTGAGTATCCGCGCACGGATAGTGATGGGTATGCCTATATTGTCTATCTAGATACTTCTGATCCAGAGAAACTTCGAACAAAGGAGGTTCATGACCGAATGAGAGATGTAAGTATAGCCAGAACTAGTTATGAACTAGCTCCTTAATAACTTTACTTATAAGAATTATAGATTCAATACTGCAAAAAGGTTGTTGGTACTTCGCAGGTTGTCTATTCGTCTTATCTCAACTACCAGACTCTTCGCACAGACCTTAGGTGTACTGGGGCTAAGGTTTGCCAATATCTTGGGTCTCAGCTACGTGATTTCCAACATAGCCATGTGAATGAAGAGCTATGGGATAGTATCCAGGAGACCCGAGCTTCTATCGAGGACGCAAGAACTCTTACACATAGTCAGAGACAAGCAATTGCGTAAGCCCTTGCTCTACTAGAACAAATTTAATAGCTCTCTAAACTAATTATAATTCTTCTTCTAGACTTGTTGATGCAGCGAAGAAGAGGTTTGCCCAAAGGAAAGCCTGTCGCAGTCATACACAAACATGCCATCTTGTGTTCCGCGAAGGGCGCCCAGTAAGTCTAGGAGACTAAACAAGTTCAGGAACTAGTTACTAACTAGTTTAGGATATCCATGGGGTTATTACCTATTTTCTTGCGTGTATCCACGGAAGATTTGCAGTACGGGATCATTACTACTTACCTATCATGAAGGAAGGTGTAGACTTCGAGTATATGCGTCAGCTTTGCACGAATACCGCAGAATTTGCCTATGAGGACTGCGCAGTAGTAGAGCAGCAAGTCTCGCGAAAAACAACATGTGGTAAGCAAGCCAGAGCTAGTTCTGAACTGGTTTATAACTAATTCTATTAAGGCCAAGTTCATCCCCAAGGAGAGGCTCAGTTAGTCCGGACTGAATGTGAAGTTCGTTTCAAGATCTTCCAGCCAATCAATCTCTTAGAGAACCCATTCGTTATCTTCCTCTCATCTGGAATACATTGCCATATTCCACCACCGCCGAGCCGGCCGCCAAGATCGATATTAGGGGAGGTTCTTGAGCTAATCAAACGCATGCAAAGTCCTGACCTTACAACAAGTAAGAACTAGCTATATCATTCTCGGAACTAGTTCACTAACTTCGTTCTAGGCCTCTTTCTGCGTAGTCCTGAACTTCGCGACTTCTGCAAGTCATACCGTGGAGAAACTCTCTCTCAGATCCACGCAAGCTTTGCGAACTATGACCGTATTAGGGCGCTTATATTAAAGCAAAGGATACTAGCCTATCCTGAAGGCAGAGATCTTAAAGGAGTTTATTGGAAGTATACAAACGATCCCGAATGGCGCGTAAGTTACTTCCTTAACTAGCTTATAACTAGCCACGAACTAATTTCTATCTAGGAATATACTCGGGGGATTTACAACGTTCCCTATAATGATGGAGTAATTATTCTATGCGCACTAGACTCACAGATTAAGCTTCTTGCATCTGTTAAGTCTTTTGAGGTTGATATGTCGTATAAACGTACGAAGGGTGAATTTAACGAAGTGATCTTTGCAATGTTTCACGAGAAGCATGGAAAAGGTAAGTTAAAATCCTTAACTAGTTCCCTATAAACTAGAACTAATTATTATGTCTAGTTATTACTCTTGCACGTGCTTTTGTAAACCGGCAGGATAAATATACCTATAAGAAGCTTTTTGAGGTCCTCTTTGAGCGTGTGGAAACAGTGACTGGATTTCCAATCCGCTTCTACTATCTACATAGCGAAGGCTTAAGGGCAATTGTGATGGATATGGACCAAGGCCAGTTCGTTGGTAAGAAAGAGTATACCTTAATCTTGCTAGGAGCTAGCTCTGAACTAGTTCTAGGTCTTGGTCTCTACCTTCAAAGGCGTGATCCAGAAAATCGAGAGTGGACATGGCAGTTACGCAATATTATCCTTTTCTGCCATATCCACTTTAAACGTACAGTACGAAAGATGGTTCCTTCTGAATTTGGGCGTGTTCATTCCTCTGGTCAAACACGTCTAAATAGTCTCCTCACAAGCCCAACAAGTGAGGAGTATTTTGAGTTGATCAACGTCATTAAAGGTAGGAAATATAGGTAAACTAGTTTCAAACTAGTTGCTAACTAGCTCCTAGAGCTCGAACCACGCTTCTTTGACTGGGCTGAACATAAGGCACATGAGGTAATTGCAGCAGGTCTTTGTAAGGCTTGCTCACTAATGAGGCCTGAGTTCTGGGATGAAGTACAGAACTCTACTAATGCGGTTGAGCAATCTCATAATAAATCCTACTCCATGGGAAAGTACGAGACGTTACTTGGGGCAATTCAAGGGTAAGTGAACTAATTCTAATTTACCTAGAATTAGTTCTTATAACTAAATTTTCTACAGATCTCGTATTCTAGATCAACGGGATATGGATCAGTATACTGCTCGCGAACGACATGATCTCCGACATGGATATCGGTCTGCTGATATAAGGTCACGTTACGCAAACCATATGACAAATGAACGTAAGTAAACTAGTTTATGTGATAAGAGAGCTAGTCCCTAAGTAATTTTCAATCTAGTTCGGTATACCGCACGTCAAGAGCAGCAATTGCAAGCTAGTCTTGAAGAAAGAAACGAACAACAACATCAGATTCTTGAGAGATCAAGCTCCTCAGGCTTTGTACGAAGAAGAAGAGGGTCTTATACCACAAGGTCAAGATCTCGGACACCTATACAAGCTTCACCACGTCGTGCGCTATCTCAAATCTCATCGCGAGCAAGGTATGAACTAGTTTAGGAGCGATAAGAATTAGTTCTACTTACACTAGATTATCTAGTTCTCCATTATCACGATCTCAACGAAGTCAATCATTCACTTCAACAATCCGGCCGCCAAGTTCACCAGTGCCTTCTATCGCATTACCGTAAGACTGATAATGCAAGCTTCTACTTAAAGAACTACTTACTAACTAGTTCGCATCTAGTTCTTTACCGCATAGTCTTATACGTCTCGCGACAGCAAATCATCAGGCAACCCTAGCTCGTCCATCTCCACAACCACTATCTCCAGTTTTATCGCTATTACCTATAGTTCCTTCAGTACCAGAGATCCCACCAGAGATCATCGCTGCACAACTCGAGGTATCTCGATATCTTCAGTCTCAAGCACAGCTGCAAGCAGCTGAGATTGAGCAACGGATGCGAAGGGAATTAGAAGAACTAGTTAGGAGCTAGTTCTTTTACTTCTATAAAGCCTTCTTCAACAGAAGACTTAGTGATATCAGAGTATTTATTCAATGTGTTATTATAGACAAGGTTTTGTTTTATAGTTACTATATCAATTCAGAATTTCTTTACGTTTAAATTCAATAATAAAATCAAAGACAAAATCAAAGACAAGAACTAATTCCCTAGGTACTCAAGCTAGTTTAGCATAGAGTTTAGGCCTCATCAAGCTCCTCAATAATCTCCTTATCAACATCCATCTCATCCTCATCACGAGGATCAGCAAATAACTGCCAATGCTCACAGGTATCCTTAACCGATTCATGACAGCATTCTAGAACTAGTTAGTAAATGAATAAAACTAGTTATACTTGAGGTAAATCATTTAACTTACCCTTCTGCTTTCCATCAAGGATACACTGTTCACAAGGAATTGGGAGGCCCTCATCCTTAACCATCTTTTTCATCATAGTCACAAGAACCTATAGCTAGTTTAGTATAATGTAGAACTAGCTTAGATATATCAGAGACTTATTCAGAGTATAGACTTACACCTTTGCCATCCTTACGAAGCGGAAGGTCTAGTAACTTCGTATGATCATCTGCATGGCGGATATCGTAATCTGCGATTATTTGTATATAGAATGCTATTTTTTATTAGTTATAGAACTAGTTATAGACTAGTTCTAGGACCTCATTACTCACCAATTGCTTTTGCCTCCTCAGGCTTCGTTGGGCGGCCGCCTCTTTGACCTGAAGTTTCAAGGGTCATCTGAGTATGCATCTTTGCAATATGCTTACGTAGATGGTTCGTAGTTTGAAATTGATGCTAGAAGTAGTAAGAATTAGTTTAGAGCTCTATAAAATTAGTTTATTTTAGGGACTTACCCCATTTGTACAACCCTGAACCCGGCAATACACCTCACCAATGAATAACTCCCCATTTCCATTTTCCTAGAAACTAGTTAGTAACTGGTTCTTAAGTAGTTCTGAAATTTCCCATACATTTAGTGGCAGGTTAGGCAGCTCAAGATCATCTTTTGAAAGCAACCGGTAGCGCTGGTACGCCGAATGCTTCTTTACCTGAGACATAGCGCTGTTGAATGAATAAGAGAGAGAAAGAAGGTGATTTAGAACGAGATAGTTCTTGTATGAATTCTAAGTTATCAGAGGATCTAAAGCAGCTTTATAATTAATTAACCCTCTAGTAGTTTTCGTGGTTAATAGCTACGTATAGTTCTAGTCGGTAGAGATAGTGAATCCTGAGGATGAAAGAAAGCCATCTTGTTGACCAATTAAACTATAGAACTGGTTTCTAGGTGCTGAAGACTAGTTTTCTTCATTGATTCAGTTCTTTGTTTGAATAGACGTAGAAAGTTCGGTGGCTTATAACCTTGCATTAATCTTTGTGGTTAATGGATGCGTATGACTCTTGACTATAGAGATAGTGAATCCCGAGGATGAAAGAAAGCCATCACGTTGACCAATTAAGCTATTGAACTGGTTTTTGGGAGCTGAAGACTAGTTTCTTTCATTGATTCAGTTCTTTGTTTGAACAGGCGTGGAGAGTTCGGTGGCTTATAACCTTGTATTGATCTTTGTGGTTGATGGATACGCGTAATTCTAGACCATGGAGATAGTAAATCCAGAGGATGAAAGGAAGGTATCCGGCAAGTTAATTAAATTAATGACCGAATAAGAACTAGTTCGTGACTAGTTCTGAGATATCAGTTTTGAACGCTATGTCAAACTCCCTAAGGTATTAAGAATAATCAAAACCACTATGCAACCTTGCCTATGCAGAAAAAATCAACCTTGCCCGGAAAATCAAGAACTAGTTCGTGACTAGTTCGGTTTATGCCTCGTCATCCTGTTGAGTAGGCTGCTGACGCGGTTTAGCAAACAGTTCGAAATGCTCGCAGGTAAGCTTCGAGTCCTCATGGCAGCACACTAGAACTAATTAGTAGCTAGTTTTTAATAGATTAGAGAGTAACTCACTCTTGGAATTATTTCTAACTCTGCACTCCTCACAAGGAACCGAGTAGCCAAGCTCTCGAACCATTTTCTTCATCTGCGTCATATTGACCTAGAATTCGGAGGTCAGAGAACTAGTTCAGAGCTAGTTTAGTAAGAGTCAAAACTTACCATGCCATTTTCCTTGATAGGGAGGGGGGGACGGTTATCATCGCTGGCATGAATGGCATCATATGTATCCATGATATCCTTATAGAATACTATAATAAGTTAGTGAACTAGTTCTGGGAGTTTAGAACTAGTTCTACTCACGCTGTGCCTGGGAGATTTCCGCGATAGTAGAACGACCACCCTTAGCCTTAGTCTCAAGGGTGATTTCTGGGTGATCACGGCCGTAATGCTTGCGGAGGGTGTTGGTAGAGGAGAAGCAGTTCTGTAAAACTAGTTAGTAGCTAGTTTTATGATTTTGAGCAGGGATTTTCCAGAACTAGTTCTATGGCATCAGAACTAGCTCCAGAATTTTCAAGTCAGACTGATTTAGAAATTCTAGAGCTAGTTCTGATCCCATAGAACTAGTTCTGAATGATATAAAGTGAGAGAAGAGGTAAGAGTACTTACCGAGTTCTCACAGCCAGAGACACGGCAGTACCTCTCACCCACATAGAGGGAGGCCTTGCCCTGTAAGAGGTCAGTAACTAGGTCTGAAGGGGGAGGGAGCTAGTTCTTACATCAGTAATAACTAGACCACGGCAGGAATCGCGACTCTCCAGGTTCGATTCGACTCGGGACCGCCAAGACTCAGGTTCAGGTTCCAGATTTTTGGAGTCGCGATCCGACTCCAACTTTTTTAGAGTCGAACCTCCAGGTTCGATTCGGAACCTCAGGTTCCTCAAACAGAGCAAACATGATTTATGAAAAATACCACATGTTCTAGATACGTTTCGGATAGTATTATATAGTCTATGTCAGGTATATATTGTTATATGATAAATCTATATAATGATGTAGTGAATATATAATATGTCCGTTTCGTCCGGTTAGATTGTTTCCAGGTTTGTAGCGTAATTAATTAGCGGTGGTTATAGTGGAAAAATTGCGGTGAAGCTTGTAGGGTCGAAGATATATATTCATGTCGACTACTACTACTACGACTTTACCACGACTAAGATAAATGATTTACGGTCGCATTTTTTTCAAATATTAATGTCTACCGTAGACCTATCAATACTTCACGTAGAAAACTAATATTTCTTAACATATAGTGATATCTAGTAGTGTATACTAACCTATAACGTATAACGGGGGAATATTACGCATAATTACTAAGAGAATTATCTATCTAAAATAGGAAATTCCTTGGCAAAATTATGCAAATCAGGTTCCTGCAGGTGTGAATCGAATCGAACCTGAGGTTCCCAGGTTCGACTCCAGGTTCCAATAGTTAGAACCTGGGAACCTCCAGGTTCGACTCCAGGTACGGATTATTGGAACCTGAGTCGGACCACGCCGAGGTCTAGTAATAACAAGGTCTGGGAGGTTCAGCTCGGCCTTGGGCAGCTCTGAGTAGCGTACCCATTCAGCGATCTTTTTCAGGTCGCCTGCCATTTTGGCTGCCGGAAACTGGTTCTGAACTGGTTTTGAGGTTGATTTGAGTGGTAAATGTAAGCGTGGTGTGGTAGTATGTGAGGATCCAGGAATTTCGGTGCGGTGTATGAGTATGTAAGGGTGTAAGTTAGAAAGTGGGGCAGTGGAGAAAGGTGAGCTGAGCTTTGGGCCGAGTGCCAAGAAGGGTGAGCCGAGCTTTTTCCTAAGGGTGAGCCGACATGTACGCTCCTTTTCTTTTCCGTGCTCCCCACTTCAAAAATCGCGCCGAGCCTGCTGCTGGTTCGCTGCTTCCCCCTCGCTCGTCTTGGTTTAGCGTACAAGAATCTTGCTCTAGTCTGTCTACGTGTTGTGATTGGTTTTGTGTTTGGGGTTATAGAGGAAGGCTCTCTTAACGAATTCGGTTGCCGTCTTCCGCGAATCTTACGATCCTATGATTCGGCTAAGACTGATTGTTGCAGAATAGCAATCAGAAGAGGGCGTGGAAAGAACAGGTAGCAAATGAGGAAAAAGCCAGAAAAGACTGGCGAATGAAGAATAAGAATTTGGTTCGTACTATCCGACGCCAAAATTTGGTCACAGAAAAGGACTTGGAACGGGCTGGAAAGAGCGAGATGGCACAATCTGAAGATGACGCCACACTCGAGGGCGAGATAACTGCAAATAATCAGCAAATAGACGATTAGAAATAGATTTGATCCTCCGAGCCTTAGGATCGATATTTCCTCACTGGGGCTGGAGGTGACACTAGGAACCACGCCTCTTGTGGCTTCACGATTTAGCTCTTTAGAAAAAGAAAACAATGAGCACAGGTTACAGTAGGTTGCGAAACCGGTGCAACCGCCTCCACTCTTCGAGTGTTTTTCTAGGCCCACTGCTAAGAGACTCTAGAACACATTAGGAATAGCCCCGGAATATTATATTCCTGTACCAGCCTCTATACTATTATTTACTTTCATTAAATACGGTGCCTTGTCTCGTAACTGTATTAGCAATCCAAGGAAACTATAATTTTCCATAGAAAAGCAAACACATCAAACACTAGATCTAAGCATTGCCTTAAGAACCTAGCAACCCAACCTACAGGTAGGGGATTCACTTAGTGGTAACACTTAGTGATTGACTTACTTGGCGCGCACTTCTGGCACGTTCTGCAAGATACTAAACAGGATCCAATCCGCAGTAAGACCTCGCGAGGCAACGGTACGATTGAGAGATACTCTTGGAATCCGCAGTTGGAAACTAGGCAAGTATAACCCGTGGATATTCTAACTCAGTGACTAGTCGGCACCGCGTAACACGAGGCTACGATCCGCGAACCGACCCTCCACGAACCTTACAACCCGCTAAGCCTGTATGACTCTGTCGATCTGACTCAATTAGGCGTATATACCACTTATAAATTATACGTTATTTAAGTTAGTTAACGTGATTCACAAGCGAGCGGATCACACAAGCGAGCGGATCACCCCACCCAAAATCGCGTCTTCCTACCACCCTACCTAATTCAACCGCCTACTATGCCACCAATTCGAACTGAATCTTCGCAGAAATCGGCCAATCAGGAGGGCAGGATCCTACTAGCCCTTGATGATATTAAAAATAGCCGTGTCAAATCTATTCGTGCAGCAGCGAAGCTATACGATATACCCTACAGCACACTATATGCGCGTCTTAATCACCGAGTATCGCGCGATGACACACGCGCAAACTCGCATAAATTGACCGAATTAGAAGAAGATTCGCTTATTCAATGGATTTTCTCAATGGATTCGCGTGGAGCAGCGCCTAGGCGTGCTACTGTACGAGAAATAGCCGATATTCTTCTTGCAGCGCGTGGAATTACCCCTCCGCCGACTGTTGGTATCAATTAGGTATCAAATTTTATTAAACGACGTGATGAGATTCGAACACGCTTCTCTAGGCGATATGACTACCAGCGCGCTCTTAACGAGGATCCAAAGGCTATAAAAGAGTGGTTTTTGACGGTGCAACGCGCGATTGATGAGAACGGTATCCAACCTGAGGATATCTACAACTTTGACGAGACTGGATTCGCAATGGGCCTTATATCATCGCAAACGGTGGTTACACGAGCAGAATACTACGGTCGGCGATCAATCCTCCAGCCAGGTAATCGCGAATGGGTCACTGCGATCGAAACGATATGCGCTGATGGCTATTCGCTGCCGCCCTGCATTATATTCAAAGGCTCGGTTTATATCGCTGGTTGGTTTGAAACAAATCTCCCTAGGGATTGGCGAATCGAGGTATCGAGTAATGGCTGGACTACCAATGACATCGGCCTTCGCTGGCTCTAAAAGATCTTTATTCCATACACCAATTCGCGTGTACGAGGGCGATTTCGGCTATTGATCCTTGACGGGCACGGTAGCCATCTTACACCTCAATTCGATCGAATCTGTGCCGAAAATGATATTATACCACTCTGCATGCCTTCGCATTCGTCTCACTTGCTTCAACCGCTTGATGTTGGGTGCTTTGCAGTGCTAAAGCGTGCCTACGGTTGCTTTGTGAGCGATTTAGCCCGTACTGGCTATAATCACATCGATAAGCTTGATTTTCTTGCAGACTATCCACGCGCAAGGGCAGAAGCTTTTCAGCCGAATATCGTTCAAAGCAGCTTTGCAGCTACTAGTATCGTACCAGTTAATGCTGACAGAGTGCTTTCTAAGCTAAATATTTCCCTCCGAACGCCTTCACCACCATCAAGCCGACCAAGCAGCAGATCTAGCGAATTCACACCAGAAACGCCTAAAACAGTAGCCCAGCTACAAAAGCAGGCTAAAATGATGAAAGATCTAATAGATCGGCGGTCAAAAAGCCCTCCAAGCCCGTTAAAATTAGTGGTTGATCAGATTCTTAAGGGCCACTATCGAGCGTTACACCACACTGCGCTACTACTGAAGGAGAACGCCGATCTGCGCGCATCAAATGAAAAGAAACGCCAAAAGCGCACTCGATCGACTAGACGGATTACACACGAAGGGGGCCTAACAATTGAAGAGGGCCTACAGCTAGCTCAGCAGCCAATTCAGCCAGTAGAAGCTGATAAGGTAGTATCGCATGAGGAGGTCGATCTGCCTAATCAGCCGATTCAACCGGCCAGGAGGGCTCCGCCTACCTGCAGTGGATGTGGAGTGACAGGGCATAGGATTACTTCATGTAAAAATCGAATTATCTAGTTAAATTAATGGGTCTTGGTGAAGATAATCAATTTTGAAATTTTGCAATGGGGGTAGGTGATCCGCTCGCTTGTGTGATCCGCTCGCTTGTGAATCACGTTAACTAGTTAGTGGTTAGCTAACTAGTCTAACTGGGGTAGTCAGTATCCGGCCATACAGACCCATACTCGGTGTTCTGCACTGAATATCACAACTATATATTTTAATATATATTACGTAGTTATTACTAGCCTCTGGCACTTACTATTAATATAACGTCACCACTACTTTAAACACACACTTCTTAAAGTAGGATGAATCTAACAATCAATTCAACTAACGTAATTCACAAGCGAATACATCGGAAAACGCCATCGCGCCCTACTTTTTCCATTCCAACCACCAACTATGCCACCAGTTCGCAGTCAAAATTCTCTAAATTCTATCAATCAAGAGGATAGAATCCAGCTCTCGATTGAAGCCTATCAGAACAAAGAAATTCCGTCGATTAAGGAAGCTGCGCGCCTATTTCGAGTGCCTTATACAACTCTCCAACGTCGGCTGAATGGCTAAATATTTCGCCCTGAAAAACGCGCAAATAGTCATAAATTGACTCTTGAAGAAGAGCAATCGCTCCTACAATAGATTCTATCTATGGATCTGCCCCTACAACATCAATAGTAAGGGAAATGGCCAATGTTCTATTAGGGAGCGTGGTGGTCAGACCGTTGGCGTCAATTGAGCTACCCCACTATGTTAAGCGCCATCCAGAGGTCAAATCGCGGTATTCCCGTCGGTTTGACTACCAGAGAGCAAAATGCGAAGACCCACGAGTCATAAAACCATGGTTTGAGCTCATAAGACGTACAGTTGACGAGAACGGCATCCAACCCGAGGATATTCACAATTTTGACGAAACTGGATTCGCGATGGGCCTTAATCTCTACTGCTAAAGTAGTTACAAGAGCCAAATTCTACGGTCGGAGATCGATTCTACAATCAGGGAATCGTGAATGGGTCAAATCAATTGAATGCGTGAATTCGACGGGCTTTGTACTCCCACCATGCATAATCTTCAAAGCAAGAATCTAGGTCTAAAGCCTAGTATGATGACCTACCTCCTGGTTGGAGAATCAAAATCAGCGATACTGGGTGGACTACAGACGAAATTGGGCTTCAATGGCTAAAATTGCAATTTATCCCTATGACTACTAGTCGTATAAGGTGTAAATTTCGACTTCTAATTCTTAATGGCCACCACGGCAGTCACTTGACCCCCCATTTTGATCGATTATGCTCAAAAAACGACATTATTCCGATTTGCATGCCTCCGCATTCGTGTCATCTATTAAAGCCTTTAGATGTAGGCTGTTTTGCCCCCTTGAAGCGCGAATATAGGGGGGATGATTGAGGCTAAAGCACGGTGCAACGTCACCATATCGACAAGCTCGATTTCCTTATGGCTTTCGCAAGGCTTGTACAGAGGCTTTTAAACCAGAGACTGTCAAAAATGCTTTCGCTGCGGCTGGTTTAGTCCCATACGAGCTAGATCGAGTCATTTCAAAGCTTGATGTTCAACTGCGAACACCGATTAGCATAATTATAATCATTTTAAGTGAAAATACACATTGCGAATATTCGACGAATTTTCATAGACTTGCGAATACATTATTCGCAATCTCAATTCGCAATTACGAATATTCGCAGCAGCCCTACATTTTCTTTCTGGGTAGATCAGTCAGTGTCACACAGTTTAGTTTATCCTGTTTATTATCCATGGAAATCCATGGATTTTATGGATACTGCCGCAGCCTAGGGTGGAGGGTGGACTGACCTTTTCCGTTCTCGGTAGTGTTAAAACTAAGGTCAAAAGCTCGAGTTAAATAGCACTAGGTTACGGAGACAAGAGAGTCACGATCAGCTAAAGTGCACAGGGTCTTTTCTAACTGCTAGCAGTAATCATGACTTCTGAGCTGGCAAAATTTCTGTGGGGAACCCGTGAAGAATCCCCACTTCCCCGCCTCCACACTTTTTACCCAACTATTAGCCAACTGCAGTTCTTTTAGCCAACTGCAGTCCCTTTAGCCAACTGCGGTCCTTTTAGCCAACTGCAGTTTTTTAGCCAACTGCACTCCTTTTAGCCAACTGCACTCCTTTTAGCCAACTGCAGCCCTTTTAGCCAACTACAGTGCTGAGACCGGTAGCTACACCGTAGACCCCGAACTATAGAGCTGTCCCTAGAAACAGGCTCAAAAACAAGCTCTAATCGTTCAACTACCAAAGGTCACGCGGCAAAACGCACATATCCGAACCGCTTCGCCTTGCGGTTAAAAAGGATAAATAGTCATCTTCGCAGAATAAAAATAGAGGTAGAACGGACTCGCGGCTTCTCTTCCAACTTCACACATCCATTCACTAGCATTCAATTCTCATCAATCATCATGAAGGTCACTGCAGCTTTTGCAGGCCTCTTGGCCACGACACTGGCCGCCCCTGCCACCGATCTAGTGACGCGAAGTATCAACTACGTCCAGAACTACAACGGCAACCTTGGTGCCTTCAGCTACAACGAGGGTGCCGGAACATTTTCTATGTACTGGCAGCAAGGAGTCAGCAACGATTTCGTCGTTGGTTTAGGCAGGAGCACTGGTTCCTCTAAGTAGATGGCCATATCCTTTCACATAAGTCTAGGATCTAACGTTTATTAGCCCTATCACCTACTCTGCCTCCTATAGCGCCTCTGGTGGCTCGTACCTCGCTGTGTACGGCTGGGTCAACTCTCCTCAGGCTGAATACTACGTCGTCGAGGCCTATGGTAATTACAACCCTTGCAGCTCGGGCTCGGCTACAAACCTTGGTACCGTGTCCTCTGATGGAGGCACCTACCAAGTCTGCACCGACACTCGGATTAACCAGCCATCGATCACGGGAACGAGCACGTTCACGCAATTCTTCTCCGTTCGACAGGGCTCGCGCACATCTGGAACGGTGACTATTGCCAACCATTTCAACTTCTGGGCGAAGCACGGCTTCGGCAACAGCAACTTCAATTACCAGGTCGTGGCGGTAGAGGCATGGAGTGGTACTGGCACCGCTAGTGTCACGGTCTCAGCTTAGGAGATGAGGGGCTTAGTGGTCAAAAGACTTGAAAGCCGAGCTCTCTTTTAAGTGGTGTGATGATCGGACTAGGGGTTTAGCGGTTTCAAATGTCGAGACCGTATATAGTGTGGCGGGGCGGAGCTGTCGGCGGCCGCGTTTTCAACTCACACAGACAATTGACTCTCGTTTTCTCCGATTTTGAAGTGTTTTATAATAGTATTCACCCTATATTTGATTAAAGATAGCCTTATTCTCTAGGCCAGCCGGCTTTTTACCCCTATCCTAATTTACATTTTCTACCAACTACCTCTTTGAAGCTATTCACAACACCCTTCCGCTCCTATCTACACAATACAGTGGCTGACCATCTTCTCTAGTCCCCTATCTGAATTCTGACTCCTTGCAAACAGCCGAAGAACTAGCAGCAATTAGAAGATATAACGTATTAGGATTGAAAGAGTCTTATGTCATAGTATAGTAACATGGTACAGTTAGCAAGGCTTGTTGGAGGGCTATTGCATTGAATGGCAGGCGGGCTCTTGGCGTCCAAGAAGATGACGTAGCGGGCACGCAATAGGTGATACGGCGGCCGGTGTCTAGGTCAGTTGGCGGAATAGACTGGAGAATTAGACGATGATGATCCGCGGCTAAATGCTGTAGAAGTAATCGTGTCAGATCAGCAGGGTCTTGGGGACCCCGCAAGTCAGGGTCTTGGGGCCCCGCACGTCGGATTTCCTCCCTCATACACTGAAGAATCGCGCAACTATACCATATTAGTCAGCAGCCGGGCATGCCCGGCAGATTGCCAGGATCGTCGGTATGTACAGTAACAACTCAGGCTCGTTATAATTCCATTGGTTGGGTCGTTCGTACTGGTCACCTTTTCCAGGCTCGAACAAATTGTATGCTTAGTGATAGTCGTGCTCATAAGTTAACCAATGTACCACTAAGAATCCTTCTGATCTACCTACTTCACCTTTCGTACGCATTCTGTATGCGTTCCTACAAATCCGCAGGACTCGGTAATTCTTAACCCGAAGTCCCGATTCCTCTAGTAAGGCCACCTTAACGAGACCCTCGCACAGATGGAGTTAATCTTTTCTTTAATCAATCATATATTTGTTTTTCCTTTATTGATTCCGTTACTCCTATCCGCTAAGATGCATACTAATCATTATATGGGATTCTAGCTCTTTAGAGCAGCAGATGATGTGGGGCTAGGTGTTCAAAGTTTTGCAAAGTAACTGTATTGAACTTACAAGCTAATACATTTATGTAATTTTCTTGTAATCTAATTCAGAGGCAATACAGGTCATATTGACAGGGGTACGCCGGAAAATTCCCATAATAGACTAGTGCATCTTGGCAGTGGGACTAAAGAATCTCTCAAAGAGTGGAGGAAGGTGCACCAGTTTGGAGACGCACTGTATTCTCGGAAAGCAAAAGTCAATTGATTCATGTAGATTGATGTAGATAATCTAGTTGGAAAACACCCCTGGATCCCACCCACCGCCCCTCGGCGGTCACGACACCGGAGCCCCAGCCTAACGCAAGAAGGCGTACACCAAGCAAGGGATGTTACAGGGAGGATCGAAATCAGTTTCACCACTTGCACATAGAGATTCTTTCTCGAACCCACTCTTGAAACCACTAAATCATTTAAAGTTACCCTACCCCTGACTCGTGTTCTTGGCAGTAATCTGATACAGCTGTAAATTACAACTTAAAAATAGCCTACGTAATAAGCCTGTATAGTCTCAACGGCTTCTAGAACGTTTATCCTGCAAACGAGGCAAACAGAAGGGGGCTTCCCAAGTCACTCTCACTTGGCCACGTTCGCATCTCCGTCTGTTAATTTCTCAACGTGAGAAGTCCCTTAAACAAGCCAGGTGTACTTCTAGTACTGTACGGGCAGGTTAAGTATATTGGTTAGTGTAACAGGCATGGTCTTCATATTAGGACCGGGATTTGCTGGACTATGACTAGAGGAAATTGCTGACGTTGAATCTTATTGCAACGTTTAGAACCTTCACGAGAACGATGAGTGCTAACTCGAATCGTGATGACTATGACCTTCAAACCTATGATTCCCACTCTGTCGATCACTACTAGCAAAATACCCCTACACCAGGATACTTCGGTTGCACGCCTACATCGAGCGGCTGATTCAGCCCTTCACCCGACTCTTCCACCGAGGACGGTCCGGAAGACTTGTCCCAAACTAAGACGGAAAGTCCTAGATTGCTCTAGCTATCCGAGTGGCACAACGGAATACTAGACGATAAGCTTCCGGCAAATTATATCCAGTATACGATTAAGTGGAAGGTTATAGTGAATAAGAAAGTGATCTCTCGAGACACAGAGGAGGACGTAGCTCTGACACTAAGCGCTTACTAGCCGATAACCCTGAAGTGTAAGTTAGAGAAGTTGTTAGAGGGAAAGGCCTTATATAAAGGATAGGTAAGATCTGTCGACATGAGTGGGTGCATAAGCCCATGCTATCGAACTTGACAGAATGCGACGGAACGTCCACGTGACGATGATCTTCAACGATTGACATCAACAGATTGCACACATGACGAAAGAGCTTCAACACTCTATATTTCTTCTGATTTCTATGAGATTCTAGTCTGACGTATTGCCTTGATTTCATGAAGTTATAAATATTGCCTGTTTTCCATAGCTAGTTGAATCAAGTTTAATGATTGTGATGAAGTTGGAGCATTCTTCTATCATAAGTTAACTTCCGATTCTGAGCCGAATCGTACGACCTGACTTGACCTATACGATTCTTCGCCAATCGTATACTGATTTGACCAACCGTGCACACTCGCTTGCTTGTGCACGCCGAAGGATTTATGCTGACGTCGTAAATCCGACAAGATCTGATAATACAGTAATTGTTGTATTAGTGAATAATCGCTCTTAACGCGACCTGATAAAGCGATTTAACTATCTTAATATTGACTAGGCTACCGTTAAAAAATAGCTGCTTCGGTGGGGTACGCTATTTCTTCAGAGTAAAAAATTAAGGTTAAGTATTACCTTTAAATTCGTTGAGGATAACTGTCTCTGTAGAACTATCTCTAGTAGGGTCGAGAAGAGAGGTAGGTCGTCTGTCACGAAACGGATACTCAACGAGCGAGACGCTTAACTAGATACTAAAGAGTATATATCTAGGCAAGAATCCGTTTAGCAGGCTATATACAACCTTATACGTTGTCCTTCCTCCTTATACTATCTTAGCCTATATTGTTAGCAAGACCCTTATAGGAAGAAACACTATACGCTACGAAGCTATTATCTTAAGCATCTTATTGCCTTTATAGAGAAGGGAGGTACTTTAGAGTCTTATAGCAACGTCCTTAATAGTTTTCGTGAAGAGCTATATTTAGAAGAGCGCCAAAGACTAGAGAGCTAACAGTCTAAGAACAAGATAGGCGGTTCCTAGGGAGGCTCTCTTCCGATAAACATTAACATTAATAGGATGCCCCCTTCCTCTCAAACGCAGGTCCCTAGCTCAGCCGCGATTCCAGCCCAGGCCCAAGTACAGAATAATCTCAATATTCCCGGATTACGAGATGTGGCCGTCAAACAATACACTGCGTGGCATGAGGCCAATGTTGAGGATGACGCTTTGAAGGCTCAATTTCGGCAAGCGCGTGATGTAGCATTAGCCAATAGGCTAGATCTTAAACTGATTCATAATGACCAAAATCCATCATTCTTTGTCGAGAAAGGGATTATGGTAGGTATCGCACGCCAGTTTGTTAGAGGCATTGTTTTCTGGGTTCGGTCTCTAGATAGTGTGCCGCAAACCGAAGAGGCTTCGCTGGTGGTATCCTGAAGAATTTAGGCGTCAAAAATATTCAAGACGGCGTTGGTATAGCTATTAGGTTGGATTTTAACTTGCGATTTGATATATTCCCTTGATATTCTGACGAGTGCGGTAGACATGCAAGGAGATAAAGAAACCTATGAATCCTCGTATTCGATGATATACAGTCATTCTCGAAATCGGCTTGACCAGTACACACTCACACTCTCTCTTCCAGCCCCACCGCCAAGACCTTAGCGCAGATCATTCATTGAGCTGGCTGCATCAAACTGAGGGGCTCGGTTTGCCGGTGGAGACGGCGGCTGCGAAGCTAATGTTGGACGAAATACACCCGCCTTTGCCTCGCCTGCCGATGGACCAGAATGCATACATTTATGGAAGCATCGGCGAACACCAGATCGTGATTGCTAGCTTACCGACTGGCGCAAATGGCACCACATCAGCTGCAACGGTTGGGATGCAGTTGCTGTCTAGTTTTCACGCCATCCGCTTCGGTTTTATGGTTGGTATCGGTGGCGGAGTACCAAACACCAAGGCAGACATTCGACTCGGAGATATTGTCGTGAGCCAGCCGACGGACACTTCTGGGGGCGTGATCCAGTACGATTTGGGTAAAGCGCTAAGCGGCGGCTAATTCAAGCGAACTGGAATACTTAATCTGTTAACCGCTCTCGCGACTCTCCAAGCAAATCACCTCACAGAAGATAGCCGGATCGTCGAATTTGTTTCCAACCTACAAGCCAAAATCGCGCCCCACAAAGCTGCCGCATTCACGCGACCGACGCGAGAGGACTGTCTTTTCTAATCAGAATATGACTATATCGCATCCGATACGTGTATAGATTGCGATCGATCTGATCAACAGTACCCCAGCTGCAAGAGATACACTAGCAGATTCTAGTGAGTGAATTTCTATAGTGGTTCCTAAATAGTTCGAATCGATTGCTAAATATTCTTTTACATCATAGTTCACCGCTTTGACGTCCCATTGGACCTAACAGCTGTTCCAGTGATTGCAAATTTTGTGGGAAGGCAAGGCGAGCTAGACTAACTCTGGCAGTATCTACGGCCCATAGATTCCCAGTCACGACAGGTTGCAATTATTCATAGGCTTGGGGGGATGGGATAACCTCATGTCAGGTATATCGTAACAGTACGCTTAGCAGATTATAAAGAACTATTAGGGTAAAAGAGTTAGGGTTTTACTTGCTACCAAATCGAATGAAAAATATCACACTGGTTAGCATTACTCCTCCACCCAGTCAACATCCCAGTCCACCTTCATCGCATTCACAATCCATCTAAGAAACGGTCAGCGCCTTCCAGTAGTTAAAAGCACGGCGGAAAGGAAGCTAAAGGGAACTCACGTTGTAGGCCAGCCTTCCTCTCTCTCTACGGTTCTCAGAATGCGAACCAACAGTCGCCTTTCTTCATCGACATTCATAAACGAGGAAACTTGATCGATCCCAGAATCGTCATATCAGTCTCAATAGATACGAGGGACCAACTGGACTTACAGGTAAAAATAGCATGACACATGGTGAAAATAGCCGGAACGTTGGTTGGGTCTGTGAGACAAATTCCGCAAAGCGACCTGGCATGCAAAAGGACCTTTCTCTGCGCCCCCATGAGTAAGGATACGAACATGCTACTTGCGGGTACGGACCTCAAGTTGCTGTCTTGCTCTAAGAAACCCGAATTCTCCAATAGTAATCTTCCGTGTCTGCGGATGATGAACATCGAGCAGGATTCGCGCGGCCAGGGACTGTGTCGCAGCCATTGCTACCGTTCGATCGTGGTTAGCGAAAATAGGTTCTCTTGTGGAGATTCACCCCACGTAGAACACACCGTGCCATTCGCTTCCGAACCATATCTCTGGGAACCATCTCCCTTGTTCCGGTTCCCGATCATTACACGCTACCGGTAGAAAACTCTTCGGTTTATTGGCCTCCCACATGTCTACCGCCTGCACCAATCCATTCCATGCCTCTTTCCCCTCAGTCGGCGTCATCTCAAGCGACCTCGTTCCAAAGCAGAAATCAGCAACCTGGCCCAGAATCCATGTTATCCAGTGGCACCATTCTGACTCCTCCTCTACCGTCGGCATCACGCCAGCAGCCGGGGATGACAATCTGACTTCGATGTTGGAGCCGGAGATGTCGAACTTCAGCGGTTGCCGGTAGACACAGGCGGGGTAGATTGATTGTCGAAAAAAACACCAAAATGCCGCCCATTTCAGCCCGGAGCCTGAAGCGGCCCAGGGATTGCGGATCGTGGAGGTGACCATTGCCGATACGCCTCTAAGATGGTGCTCGTAATCCCGGCCGCTGTCGGAAACTGCACCAGAAACACGACATCAGACAACACGCCAACGAACAGCACGAAAACAGTGGAAAGGTGTTCAGGCTGACTCACCATTCAGATGCTCGTACAGTCTTAGCAAGACCAAGGCTGCGAGTAGGGTATCATCAGTCGCAGCGTTGGGATCACCCAGCGCGGGTATCAGCAACCCGATACACTGTTTGTGATAATCCTCCGCAATAGCGGAATCCCAGCTTCCCAAGCAGCAAAGATGCCGCGCTGCCAAACACGAGACCGCCTTCAGAAGGATTGGAGAGCGACGTGCAAGATGTGGCACCGTGATAGTGAAGTGTCGATCGGCGTCAGAGAACCGCACCTAGATTCAAGCAAACGTGAGTCCATTATCAGTCAATGTAGAAACGGGTATTACGCACCCATTTTGCCAGACGGCGCACATAGTGCTGGAGCAAAGTTTCCTCTTCTGTGGATACAGTGAACGGGGGTATGGAGCCATGTGTAGTGGGCGACGCAGCTTTGACGTCGCTATGGTCGAGGTGAAGTTGGATTCCCTGCAGGGTCTGAACATCGAAGGGGGCCGACGCAGTTAGGTCAGCCACTCCACGTGGAGCGGTCCCTTCAGCGAGCGATGTGGGTACGGTGACACTTGAAACAACTGTTGATGGAGTGGTTGGTATACCTATTACTCCCAAATCAGGTGAGCTGCTGACGCTCTGCGTAGGAGGAGCAGCCACTATGGGAGATCGATCAACATTGTCCCGCACGTCGTTCAGGATTGGTAACTGCGCCGGGACACTAGTACCAGGTGAGGCTCTTTGAAATGATTTGTCGTAAATCGTGGTCCGTCTTGGACGCGCGGGTTGGGCCTCAGAATTGTTAGGCCGGAGGCAGTTTCGGCCACCAATCCGACATCTCCAGCAAATGGGTTTTTCTTCATCGCCTAAAAGGAAAAAAGGGATCGCAGGTCAGCGCGATAGTTGCAGCACCCGCAGGCTCTGGAGACACCGACATTTCAGATGACGTTGGCGACAGGTATAACTGATATGAGTCTAACGGTCAGTGTGACGGTACAAGCCAGGAAGATTGAGACAATGTCGCACCATCCGGTTCTCGACCTTCTTTGAGTGGTCTCCATCCATTTCTCTTTCTCCAAGTGTTCGGGTAGGGGTACTTGCTACCAAATCGAATGAGGCGATGGTCTGACAGTGACGAACAAGTCTTGATGCATCAGCAAACTGCGGGACTGATGTCATGCAGGAAAAGCTAAGAGTGGATCCAGTAGCCCAAATCCCGGTACTGCCAACCTTGACCGCCTCGCCTAACTGGCGGTTGAGGAAGGCAGACCACGTCTGGATGTTACTGCTGTCAGCCGTTCTCGAGGGCAACTGAGCTCCGTGCCGAGGGAAATAGGGCGCGATAACCAAAGGCCGAGCTGCGAGTCAAAGAGGCAGCGACAAGGGTCAGAAGCATGAGTTTCGGGGTTCAGAATGTGCATCCATCCGGGTGCTCAAGCTGTGGGGGCGCATGTCAAGAGATGTTGGGAACCGTGGGATGAGCAAGCTTTCCCCTAGATTTCCTGCTTCCCCGCACTCAAGTTAATCCCTCTACCCATATTCAACCTTAATTAACAAGTTTTACAACTCAAATCTCCCAGTTAGACGTACTATTGGATGATTTGCGTGCTGATGCAGGGTAGTTAGCTAATACAAGCCATGTCAGAAGTGGGCCCAGAACAATAATGTCTGCTGTGCGACCCATCCTTGCGGGGAATACCGAATAACCTTATTCCAGCTCAGTGAGCATACCCCGGCTCCACATCATGTCGAGACGAGCTCGGTTCCAAGCACCTTGCGGCAGCTAACCGCGTCTGGCCCTGTGCAATAGTCCATCTATCCCTGGGTAGAAACGTCAAGCTGACACGCGCCTCCACAGCTTGAGCATCCCGTGGGGTAATAAGCTCTGGAGTAGCTCGCGTGCGGGGCCGAGTGGATATTGCACCTACAGCTTTCGAAGCAAGTTGGACCCAAGATTCATGGAGAATGGACTGATCGCAACGATGCAGCTGAATCACATGCGGATGATGCGGTGCAGGAATGGAAATTGATATATAAGGGCTCTTCGGTGTCCCTCAGTCCTGCGCTCCTCAGACCAAGCACTGTGTTCTGTAAACCTACGACGACTACAATCACTCAAAATGATTCACACAAATATGATTCACACTTTTGGAGGTTTGACAGACGACAGGCTTAACACTGCCATCGCTTTTTTTGCAGGATGCTCGTTTTTCCTTTTTGGCTATGACATGGGTTACATGGGCTCAGTGCTTACGCAGAGGGTAAGTAGCTGTTCTCGACCTCCTTCGCGACTCCGAGTTCTCACTTGTTTGATCTCGCAGTCATTTATTGAAACCATTCCGTCGACGGCCACAGATCCTAACATCCAAGGTATCTCTGTTGGTATCTTCGAAATCGGTTGCCTTCTTGGTGCTCTCTCACTTCTCGAAATCGGTGATCGTCTTGGTAGACGAAGGACGGTCTTGCTCGGCCAGGCACTTATTCTCGTTGGTGGCCTCCTCCAGGCTTCTGCTTTCGGGTTGCCTCAGTTCCTAGTCGGTCGTGTGGTAGCCGGTGTCGGTTTGGGCCTCGAAGTTGCTACTGTGCCTCCTTGGCAAAGTGAGTGTGCCAAGCCGAAGTCCAGAGGTTACTTCGTGATGCTGGAAGGTGCGCTGTGCTCCTTCGGTGTGATGACATCTTTCTGGGTGGGATATGCGTAAGTCAAATAAACCTCTCATTAGGACCCATAGCTCACTTTATATCTGAAAGCTTTTTGAGAGGGGTCGGTGATGAGTACCAAGTATCGTGGCGCATGATCGTTGGCATCCAATGTATCATTGCCGCCGTTGTTTTTGTTGGCGTCTTCTTCCTTCCGGAGTCTCCAAGGTGGCTGTTGAAGCATGGATACAAGGAAGATGCGTACCTCGTCCTTGGTGCTTTGCTTGGCCTTCCAACGAGTTCTGTGGAAGTCGAAGAAGCCGCGCAACTCATATTGACATCCATCGAAGCTCAAAAAGGAGATCAGCCATTCCGGTACAAGGAACTCTTTACTAACGACAGGAACCAAAACTTCAAACGTATGATGCTCGGTATATTCGTGCAAGGCGCTCAACAAATCTCTGGCATCAACGTCTGCAATACCTATGTCATCGTCATCCTCACCAAACAGCTCGGGTTATCTGCCGAGAAAGCTCAGCTCTTAGCTGGGGCCAATGGCACGCAATACTTCCTGTTCACCTTCCTCGCCATCGTCTTCATCGAGAGGGTCGGCCGTCGTAAAATGTTGATTTTCGCTGCTACTGGCCAGGGGGCCTGTTTCTTCATGCTTCCCTTCCTTCTCCGGAGTCCCAGTAAAGCTGCCCAGGCAGTCGCCATCGCATGCATTTTCCTGTTCAACACCTTCTTCGGCCTCGCCTGGGTTGGAATTCCATTCCTGTACAATGCGGAAGTCACACCACTCCGTATCCGTGCACCAGCAAATGCTATTGGAACTGCTTCTAATTGGATCTTCTGTTTCATCACGTATGTTCCAAGTGCCCTTATCCTTAAGTCTTCTGCTAACTTAGCGCATATCAGGCTCATGATTGCCCCCGTTGGTTTCAAGAACATTCACTACTGGCTCTATATGGTCTTTGCGATCATTAACCTGTCCTTCGTCCCAATCACGTACTTCTTCGTTGCGGAGACGGCTGGTCGCTCCCTGGAGGATATGGACCTGATCTTTGCTAAGGCGCACCACGAGCGGCGCAGCCCAGTCGCCGTTGCAAGAGAGTTCAAAGACGTCCATGCAGATGTCCACCAAGCTCGTGTCGTTTTAGGTTTAGATGATACCGGAACCAACACACCATCATCCTCTAACGAGATGTCGGAGAGTAAGGGCAACGCGGCCGTGCCAACTGCTGAGCATGGTGAGGTTGTCTAGGGTCCACTATGGTCTGGCAGGATGTTGGACTGTGTTTATTTTAGAGTCCAAACGGTTGGAAAAGTTGGGAGTATGAAGACGGTACAGGAGAAGTTTGAATATATGGGGAGTTTGAGAGTTTGCAGACACGATTTGGGATTATTAAATTGTCGTTATGGGTATAAGACGCTTAAGCAAACAGACTTATGGCAGAGAACACTCCAATTAAACTGTGATTGTAGGCGCTGAGCTTAATGCAGCATATTGCAGCTGGGACGTGTTTCCCCTTTCGCACCATGGTAAAGACACTTCATGTTGTGTCCCCTGCTGTATTTTCCCTGTTCTTGCTACCACTATCATCTCACACTGGTCAGAGATGGTTGTCTTGACACCCTTTTTGGCCGAGTGGTGATGATATAACACATCACTGTCTCACAGAATCGGCATGAGTTGAGTCTTGGGTCGCCTTTCCTAAACGTCGACATGGTGAAAGTAGGGCTCAAGGTGCGGAAAGCTTAATGAGAGCTTGTGCTGGACCTAGAATTCCACTCTTATGCAAAGCTGCCAGTGAAGCATCTAAACCCTAAACCCCCACGCCGTCGGGCCTGCTCGGACGGTCAGACTCAGACCTGCCAGGCTAATTTCGGCGATACAGTGTCGACTAGGCAAGAAGACTCGGAATGTCAAAACCTCTGCAACAAAGACAAGATGCGGTTATGCCCCGTACTGAGGTTGTTACAAATCATGCTTGCTCTATGGGAATTGGGGCCATGCGAAGTAAGAAAATCAGGGCGCGGCTTTAAAAGTCTCTACTGCGGGGGGAAGATACACTATTTCTGACTAGAGTTATTTATCGTGCCCTCCCCAACCGAAGAAATCTGCGCCGTATGGACCTCTGACCAAGGGTCGATGGCTCAACAGACGGCCGTCACCAGGTGGCCCAAGGCTGTTGAAGGAACCGTTGACAATGTTGACGAGACTGCAGCCTCTTCCGACAAGGACAAGCGGGCCGAGTGGGCTACCATGCGGATTGCGCTGCAGGAGATCATGCATGAGATCGAACGGAATGAGCCTTTCAAGTCGGTCTAGTCCCGAACGGCTGTCGATGAGCGTACGCTGACTGCCAATAGACCTTTACCAGACGATAGAGCGCCTTGTGTTGGTGATTTTAACAAGCCGCTCAACGCGATTGGAAAATGCAGTTGGTTGGATTGCCTCTGGCTACTCGCAGATTGTTATATTTACAGGTACGTACTACCATGATTCGGAGCTTCACAGTCAAAGGCTGATTGAAGCAGGCGCATCTAGACCGTCTTCAACACATCTAAAAAATGGCACGTCTATGACGTATTCAAGCGTCAAAAAAACTCGACTTTTGTCAAGTCACGAGTCGCCATGGAAGCGCTCGCCAGCTCGTACATGCAAGTCGTAACAGAGATGGATCTTGCGAGCCACGGCAGCGAGGAGGCGCGGCGGTTGCTATTCATCGAAATGGCCGAAATTGCACGGTTGGGCAACGCAACTGATTTGTCGCTACTAAGCCATTTAAGCATGGAAGATACGCAGGATCTCCAGGGACAGGACGCCATCCAGAAGAGCCAGAAGAATATCGTCGATAATGATACTGAGGCCGTCTGGACCTACCTCCAGTGTACTCCATCGCCAGTAGATCGTCATGTGGACAATGGTGTTGGATAATGCTGGGTTCGAGCTCTTCACGGCCTTGATCTACGCGGCTTATATCTTGGATTGTCAGATTGCAACTTCGATGCAATTACATAGAAAACAGTTCCCCAGGTTCGCTGGTGATGTCATTCTGACTGACGAGGACTCACTTTTTGAGCACCTTGAATCAGCAAAATCCTTTCTCGATCGACTGGTTCCGCGACTACGCAAGTTTTTTGAGTCTGGTGCCATTAGCATAACGATTGAACCATTCTGGACAAACCCCTACTCCTTCCATGAGATGCCAATTAGAGCACCGGCTCTTTTTGATCAGCTGCAGTCCAGATACCTCATATATTTACGGGCGATCTGAACTATCGTAAGCTAACCAAACATGGGCTGTGGCCCTACACTACGTCCTTTCGGGAGGCGCTTGTTCCCTTGGGGAAAAGCAGGATGAAAATCCTCGCTCGTCCCACGAACAAGTCCGACACCTTCATTGGTGTAGAGAGTCAAGACAAGGTGGACGCCTTGAAAGCCGAAGCTCCAGGCAAAAATAATAAATTGATATTAATACTACCTATATAACATTAATATTGATATCATATGATACGCGATATCCTTACTATATAGTATCCGATATCCCTACTATATGGTATTCGATCCCATATGGGATGCGATATCAATACAATATCGCGATTCAACATCCCTACTATAGTGATTTCGTATTAATACTACTATATGGTAGTACAGTGTGTGCGACCACAGGTGGGTGGGTGTGGTGAGATGTAATCATTGTAAAAATACGATGTGTTCCTTTATACAATAGTCCGCCGTACGTTCCCACCAAAAGTGACTCTTGGATCCTGTCCTCTTCTCGGCTTTTGCTAGCGCGAAGGATAAACGGTTATTGTCCCCGCCTCCGCATGTCCCGGTACCATGGTTCTGCTCGTCTCGCTGTCGGCACATGTGGGGTTTTGGAAATAGACTGTCGCACGGTTGAAGCTGTCATAGCTGATCACTTCTCTCGGCTGCCGACCACGTGATCGTCTCGAGGCGCTCAGGGCAATGAAATGTGTGTTCTAGTCATTGCAACCTATTCATTAGTTCAGGCACCCCCACGCGTGCAGTGGTCATGGGCCCGAGTTGAGAGGACACGTCTTTGTTCCACCGAAAATCCGGACGAGCATCCGGGGATGGAGATCCAACATTTAAAAGCCCAAGCTGAGCATGCAGGCTGAACTTCCCTTGGTCCATCTTCTTGCATATGCTCGCGAGTAAAGCCATATTATTACTTCCACGATGACGGTCACCCAGACAGCAACCAACGAGACTGTTGGTACCCAAAGCAATGGCAACAAATGGAAAGGGAAGCCATTGAGTCTGAGAATCATCGGGACCAATCAAGGTACGCATGAATACTCGCAAGTACCGACCCTAACGACAAACTTCTTGAACGCAACTGAACGCGGAACATTGGAACAGGGACTTCTATGGATGGAATTGATATTGCCCGTATCCACTGGACGCAAGAGCACCCAGAAGCACCTTTGACGATGGAGATTTTGAATCATGGGGACATTGAGTTTGACGGAGCTCTGAAAGGTGCGCCTTCACGTTGCGCAGAGATAGGTTCTGAGGCTGAGGGTTTAGACAGAAACGGTCATGCGAATGATCAGATACAACAAAACGACACCCGAAGAGATATCAATGGTTAATATCCAGGTAATATCTGACTGTCCGTACCTTTCTTAACTAGAAAACTAATAAGCATATATAGCTCGGCGAATTCGCCGCCAAAGCAATCCGACAGTTCGCTGAGCGAGAGGGTTTTAGTCTTGAAGAAGACGTTGATATCATCGCCGGCCAGGGCCAAACAATCTGGCATCTTCCTCTTCCAGAACTCTTTGAAGGTAATCAAATTCGCGCTCATCTGGACATGTCCGAGATATCTATCATCGCTGCCCGCACTCGCGTTACTACCATGTCCAACTTCCGTGTTTCCGACATGGCTCTTGGCCGCCAAGGTTGCCCGTTCTTCTCGGCCTTTGATTCCCTGGTCACATCGCATCCCACGTTGAATCGAGCAGTTCAGAATATTGGTGGTATTGCAAATATCACATTTTGCCCCAAGAACGCGCCGGATGAAGCGTATGATTTTGACGTAGGCCCGGGCAACGTTTTTATTGATGGGTGAATATATCGTTAAAGGCCCATTGCTGCGTCGAGCAGCAATATTGTTTGACACAGAAGGCTTACCGATTTGCTTCCAGTGCGGTTCGCTATTTCACCCAGGGCAAGCGCCAGTACGACAAAGATGGAGCGATGGCCAGAGCTGGCCGCGTGAACCAAGTAATCGTCGACGAAACCCTTAAAGGACCGTACTTCGTCCACGATATTCCCAAGACAACAGGCCGCGAAACTTTCGGAGAGAACTGGAGCCAGGAACTCTGTGAACGGATGATGTCTGAAGGCGCAACTCCAGAAGACTGCGTCGCGACCATCACTCGTATCACGGCCCAAGCGCTTGTAGAGGCGTACAAGCGCTGGGGTCCTAACGAAGGAGTCGATGAGATCTACCTCGGCGGTGGCGGTTCATTTAACCCTGCCATTATTGATTTCCTTCGCGAGAAACTCCCAAGAACAAAGATTGCGTTTCTGGATGAATTGGGCGTTCCATGCAGCGGCAGGGAGGCGGCAGACTTCTCGCTCAAGGGCCTTGAACTGATTCTTGGCAGACCTTTGATGCCTCCTAAAAGAGCCGAATCAGACAGGATGGGAATTACGGGCCATATGCAGCCGGGGGAAGGGCTGAAGTATCATAAGATACTGAGACATGTTCAAGACTTCTGGGGTGATTACCCGCTGGAGAAAAGGTCAAACCCTGTACGCAAGATGATTGTGGTGCCTTATAAGCACTGATTATCAAGATGAGCATAGATAGCCGAATATGATTTTGTGAAACACTACGCGGCGTGGTCTACAAAGCAACAACAGTTAGCTCGAGATAGTATCCCATCTTTCCGTTCGCAAACGTAGATATCCATGCAATTTGTGATTCCAACTCTATTTAGCCAGATCCCACCATAGACCCCAAGACTATATCCTACATCGACAACGCCCACGGCGCTGCGCACACAGGAAGCGAACAGGAGGAGAGAGGAGACCGAGTCAATTGGTCTATCTAGAGCAAGAGAACGAAAACGACTATAAGAAGAAGAAGGAAAAGCAGAACAAAACAGGAAAAGGCCTATAAGCCAACAACGCACAAAGATGGCCTGGTCCTGGCAATCTCCAGCCAACATCCTGCAAGGCCAAAGAGGGCGAGGCAACCCTGCAAACCTATCGAGGTCAAAGAGGATCGAGCCATCATACATTACTAGGTCTCTGGTGGAAAGTAACATGGACGGAGTGAGTAGAATTGGGGTTTGCTCTGATTTGGCTAGAACCCACTCCGAAGGCACTGCCTCGTAGGAAAGTCGCAAACCACCCGTTACCGTTTCCCTGGCCGGGATATGAAAACAACGAAAACAATGGAAGGTCAGCAAGACTGGCCTTACTATAGCCTAGGCATTGCATTCCAAAATGATGTGGGGGAGGTTACCCCCACTCCCCCATATTGCAGGGTCCAGACCGATCCAGAGGGCCTTCCTTTAGACAAATAATACCCCACGTCGACTCCACCCATTTCGCAAGCCAAATCCCGATACTCGTGGTAAGCAAACGGCAAAACGGCTTGGACATGCTTGATTGAGTTCCAGGAAACAAACGAGGGGGCAAGGTCAAATCCCGTACGCGTGCGGACGATTCCAATTCCTCACATAACGATGCCACCCAAACTCTTAAAGCTCCGAGCGAATGAGCCCCGATGACGCTTTCAGGCCCGGAATCTAGTCGCCCTTCCCTCTGACATATTTCAGGCAGCCAACACCCCCGACCAAATTTTTGCATCGTTACAACCTGACTCGTTCCCGAAAGAAACAGGTAGAAGACATGAGCTCGGTATCAATCCCAAAGACGCAAACTGTAGCGCTCGTTCGCGAGCTCGACGGCGCCGTTGAGTTCCAGGACGATTATCCCGTTCCTGTACCTGGTCACAATGAAGTGCTAGCCAAGGTTCTCTATTCTGGAGTGTGCCAGAGCGGTGAGTACGATATCTGAAGCTGGCATGAAAGCGTCTTGTTTCAGAGAAGGATAATAATGTCAATAAACAGATCTTCATACTAAGGCCGGAACCGCCGCTGGTGCAGACGGCAATCCCATCACCCGGATCAAGCTCCCTCATGTTGGTGGCCATGAGGGAGTCGGACGTATCGTCGCTCTAGGCTCCGGCTGTGGATCAGATATCAAGGTTGGGGATCTTGTTGGCATCCGCTTCGCAAGTCGTATTTGCCGGCGATGTGAGTTCTGCCTTGCCGGAATGGAGCAGTATTGCTTGCGGAGCACAAACCACCTGCATCATGAGGATGGAAGTTTTCAGGAGTATATTGCACTGGACGCAGACTACCTGACGATTCTGCCCAATGATGTTGATCCAAGGGTGGTCGGACCGGTGCTGTGTGCTGGAGTGACGGCGTATAAGGTGAAGGGTCCCAATGATAACTTGTTACAACTTGATATTAATATGGTCTTTTCAGGCTGTTCTTAACGCTAACGTGAGGGCTGGAAACTGGCTGGTTGTGGTGGGAGCTGGTGGAGGCCTGGGTCATCTGGCGGGTGAGTTGAGAACGTTGTTTGTTAACCGATATAGCTAACAGTAGTTCTGCTAGTTCAATATGCCCGGGTACATGGGGCCTTGGTAATTGGTGTGGATGGGCCAGGCAAGCGAGATTTCGTGCTGGGCCTCGGAGCCAAAGAATTCATCGACTTCACCAAAGAAGATCCGATCAAACGTGTCCACGACATTACCGGTCTTGGGGCTCATGCTGTTGTGGTGACTGCAGGAAGCGCAAAGGCTTTTACTCACGCGTGTGAAATGCTACGGATTGAAGGTACACTAAGTTGTGTGGGAATCCCACCTGGTCGTCCTTGTCTGGAAACAGCGATTGCGACCATCGTCATTAGGGGCTTGAAGATCACTGGAAACCTGGTTGGATCATTGAAAGAATGTATGGAGGCTGTTGATATTGTAAAGCGAGGGATGGTGAAACCGGAGATCAAGGTCCGGCAATTCAAAGAGCTGCCAGCAGTATATGAGGAAATGGAGAAGGGGGATATATCTGGAAGAATTGTGCTCAAAATCGCTGATCTATAGAGGCTATTTCTTACAGATCCTGGCCTTCTCTAGGCAAGGCCATAATCCAAAGCACTCCGTGGACGATCGTCATACTCGCTCTTCTTCGTAGATTAGGGTGGAGCCCCGGCCCCACACTACTTTAGGAGCCCCAGGGCTCATCCAAACTTAGATTCCTCATAGCTCCAATAACATCCAAGTTTCCTGCTACTGCTTCACATTAAGAGCTCTCTCCCTGGTCCTGGGATAGCTATAAGTCTCAACAAGCGTAATTTCCTGGCACTGATCTCGACGGCTTCATATATGTGGCGCAAACATTTCAGGATCATATCAGATAAGCGTAGTAGGCAGAGGTTTCAGCTTGGCGGTGAGAAAAGTGACAATTGTATCTTGATCCCGTTTCTGCCCATATTGAGCTGGAAATGTGAGAGTTCTGATGAAACTAGATAATGAATTTACTAATCATTGTTCAGATGAACGGTCTTTTTGAAGGGGACCTTTGCGGCTGCGACATAATGTTGAAAAAAGCAGCATGGAGATACTCTCATGCGCTATACTGCCCTCTCCTGTACCTTGTCTCCTGCATGTTTAGTGAGTCTTCAGCAGATATCGGTTTCCCGCTACGCTCATTACGTGCGTAACTCTCGGCCAGCTGGTCGTCTTTCTCCTCTTTGAAGGGTCAACATCGGTGGCAGTAAGCTTGCGAGCAAAGATCTGCTTCCCAAAGAGGGTGTCCAATCCATCGAAAATTCTCCCCTTGGTGTTGGGACTGCTGCCCCAAACGAAGCTGTCGCCATGGTAAGAAATTGTTGACTTTGGCGAAAAAGCGGACATACCCTGCGTAGCCCTTCAAATTCCAGGCTTCCGGTTTCGTAAGTAGTTCTCAAGAGTGCCACGAATAATGTCCAGGATGATTGGAACATTGCAAGACAGACAGTCTTGTTTGAGATGCGTTGACCAAAATGGAATGACGTCCTTCTACTGGCATAATCTCCCGAATTTCTTCTGGCCTATTGCACCAGATCGTCGGCAGTTCTACGCCAACTTCGTAGAAAAGGCACTCCTTCCTGCGGTCATGAATGAAAATGACGATGATAGTGGGACCTTACAAGACCTAGTGTTCCCTAAACTACGGTCGCTCCATCTGTTCGTGAATTTTGGCCACAACTACATTCCACGGATTCCAGGTCATCGTATCGAAGAGCTCAAAGCGGATTCCCAACATGAAAAATATCCAACGACTACAGTGGATCCAGAAGCTATGAGTGCGATACTGGACCAAATTCCGGTAAGTTCAAGACTGCCGCTTGGCTCACTCGCGTTCACCAGCACATGAAGAGAGGTGTATTCCCTGATGTCACGAACTTGGGGTTCTCGGACTTGACACCGGTATACAGAGCAGCTCCGCAGTGGTTGACTGCTCGGCCTCCACGACTCGAGAAATATGATTACCGTTAAATAGCGATGACTGCATCCGTACCATTTAGGTGTATGCCTTCCGAGGAACTGAATAAGCTGAATGGATATCACGATTTACTTACAGATTGGCCCTCTATCAGCGGTATTTGACTTCCTTTGGCTCTTTACTTCGTTCAGCATCCTGACCAGTACCCTCTCCAACTGCTTGACTCACTCAGTTAAGTGCCTTTCGCCCTCCCGCACGAAGCAAAGTCTCAAACATTGATCTTGATAGGACTGATTCCCAGGGATGATGAAAAGGTCACCATCAGCGCTGCGATGGCCAATTGTAGGTCTTATACTCGAGTATTTCTCAAAACCGGGACTCATTTTTCACAGGCCTAATGGAACTCGGAGGATTTTGTAGCGAAATTTCACTGGTACGGGCCAGCCCAGCAAGCACGGGTCCATCAGCCCTCTCCTATTCAGTATCCAGGGCTCTATACTGTTGTAGCGTATCTCAACAATAGCAAGAGACAAACACGGCTCGGTTTGTTTAACTAATCTATGAGTCTCAAGGGACTGAAGGGAGCCATATCTCCTATAACTATTTGCTCGTCTGCTAGGTAGCGTTTTGGGATACTGTAGGTTGTTTACTTGTATATAACGCCCGCAGAATTGGGAACGACATAAAGCCCTATCTAGAGTTTAGATTCCTGGAATCTTGAATAAACCGGAAGTGGAATTTCTAATTTCCCCCTAGAACAGAACAGGGCTCTTCACCTATTATTATGTTCCCGTTTTATTGTATCAATAGCTCCAAGAGACACCTATTATATTTCGGGGTGTATCGACGTCTCAGAACGGTAGTAGTAGCGGAGACAAGGTCTGTTAGTATAGCAAAGTATCACTAATAATATAGTGGATTTCGGAAACAGTTTTCTTAACACACACTTTTTGTTTCTCGGCCTGTGCCGGGAATAGCATTAAACTTAAACTACCTAGGTAGTAATTTATAATAAACTATTAGTAGACAATAATTTACTACTTAACCTAATAGGGATTAAACGCGTTCTGGATACGGACCGAGAAACAAATAATTGTCGAGTGTGACGATTCACATATGGTGATGTTTAATACCTGGTGTTGATGCCTGCTGCCGCAGGCATCCCTCATGTATTTAGATCGTCTCTCACTGTCTCGCACCATAATGATGATAACTTCAGTCGGGTTGATTTCTACAGTGATGATGGTGCTACTGTGAAACACACGAGGGTCAACACGGCTCACAACGACCAGAATAGAATGATGGTCCCGCAACAGGTCCTTGTGTAACGGAAGTTGATATTATATATTGGATGCTTGGACTAAAGTGATCAATAGTTACGCTAGGTCAGTCGTCTTGAAAAATCTGAATAGTATTAATCTTTTCCTAAAAAGATCCTATCACCGTAAAAGGGCAGGCCGCCAATCACATGTTCAGCTAACAGATAATGATTGGGGATGTTGAGAGATCTGTTGCAGAGGTGGAACAATCATATACGATTAATTTCTACAGTCACCTTTCGTCTTTACTTTTATAGATCTAAAATCTTAATGCGACTGATAAATAATATAGTTAAATATATACACAAATTTATTTCTGCTGATTACGTAGTGGGAAGGCCAAAAATGTAATACTACGTGTTCATATGTAAATAATGTGGAATCGGAAAGTTTTTGTCCAAGAATATCATTAAAACTTAGTGAACTTATTAATATTAAAATATTACTAATAATAACATCGCAGCGAAACTGTATTTATCTGTTGACAGCGACAGAAGGATCCGCATGGAATTTCCCCGTTTGGCTCGTCACGATCTCGTCACGAAGGGAAAAAGCTTACTGCCACAAACCCCAGTTTCCCCAGATTCCTCGCATTGTGTGTTAGCCCCGCTTTGTGCATAAGTTGCGTCCTACCCACCACCTCGGTTCTTACCCCAACACTCTCGTCAACTCGTCTCGGAGACATATCTCGATGGCTCAAATTCAACTGCGATCAAGAACAGGGTGGTATGCATTCCCCGAGTCTTCCGATGGCCCCCGGCAGCAGTGCTGACAGGTCGAGTCGAACCAGCTATTCGTGTCGTCAACGCCACGTGAAATGTCAGAAGTAGAAGTAGCCTTTGTTTTGGTTACAACCAGCTGAGACTCTCTAGGTGACGAAGAAAAGCCCGTGTGCTGGAAATGTCGCATTGGCGGCAGGAAGTGCGTGCGACCAGGCGACACTGAAGTCCAACGCCCTCGCCCGCAACGAAGAACTGCCACAACTTCCCAGAATGTCTTCCATCCTGTGCCAAACAATATCGCATTATCACCAGTGACCAGCTCGCTTAGCAGTCCGACTACTTCCGGTTCTCGAGGGATATCGATTCGGTCACTTACTACATCTAATCCATCGCCGATCTCTCAGTCTGCTGTACCCGGAGTAACTGTGACCACGGCTGACTCGGATACGGCACCATCCACCGCTAGCGAGGTCTTTGAAGTTCAGACTTTACAGGGCATTCAGCTTCATCTGAACCATAACGACATCCGAGCGGATTCGCCCGACGGTTGTGGCTCCATAGCCCCGTTCACCGTGTCTGCTGAGGAGGAATTCTTGATCCAGCACTACGCTTGTCATCTTGCGAAATGGGCGCGTAAAGCCTGTTGCAGAAAAGGTTTATTGCTCGCTTATTTCGGTTTCGATCTAGGTACGATACTCAGACGCGGATCGACATTTCAGTATTACGGTGACCCATCTGGCACGTTGCTCTCCAATCCTATCCAAGGCTGTCTCGGCTTTAGCAGCACGCCATCTCAGCTGCATAGGAAGTTATAATTCCTCCACCGCAGACGATTACCACAAGCAGTGCATTGAGCTGCTGATTCCCGCTCTGAACGAACCGAATGTTGCCGCCGACGATACGTTGCTGGCTGCGCTGGTCCTTCTGAGACTGTATGAGCACCTTAATGGTATGTCTATCTGAAATTGTCTGCTCCTTTCTAGTATACCTGATTCTTGCATAGTGTCGGACAACGGCAAAGACTACGAACATCATCTCAGTGGAGTATCGGCCCTGGTCACCTCCACGATCCGCAATCCGTGGACTGCATCCGGCTCCGGTCTCAGGTGGGCTTCCTTCTGGTGCTGCTTTCGACAATCCGTCTATCCGGCGTGCCTGCACCGACAACCACTGCAGTTCGACATCTCTGGCTACAAAATAGAAGTGAACTTGTCGACACCTGCGCCGGGAGTGATGGCGACGGTCGAAGAAGAGTCGGAATGGTGCCACTGGATAACGTGGATATTAGCACAAGTCGTGGATTTCTGCTTCAGCATGCCGTCGCGCGACATGACGATGCTGAAGGAAGGGCAAGCCTGGAATTCGTTACTCCAGGCAGTGGAGACGTGGGAAGTCAATAAACCCAAGAGTTTCCTTCCTGTGGCGTACAACGAAAGGAACCCGAACCGAGGGAGATGGTTCCCAGAGATTGCGTTTGGCAGCGAATGGCATGGTATGTACGACGGATTTGCTGATCAGGTCACCACCTAATCTATCGATCAGCAATGGCTACCACGCAGTCCTTGGCCGCGAGGATCCTGTTGGACGTGTATAATCCCCAAACGCGCGGAATCTCCATCGGAGAGTTTGGTTTTATGAGAGCTCGAGAAAACCTAGACGTTCGTCAGAGAAAGATATAATTGAACTAGATTGATGCGTAGGCTAAATTCGCCGTTCCGCAGAGTAAAGTTCTATTGCATGGAAGGACCCTTTGCGGAATCTGTCTTACAAATCCAGCCAACATTGCGGCCATCTTCACCCTCTGTCATACTATCTTTTCTTGTGAGTTCTGTGAGAAAGGACTGAGTAGCTGTCATAAACTGTCTAACTGTGACACCGCGAGTCTAGTCTCCTCCTTTATCAGTGTCGACGAAGAGAGGAAGCTGCTAGTCCAGATTCTGAGAATCGCAGAGAGAGACGAGGGTTGGCCGACGACGTGAGTCGTGTCCCGGGAATGACTACTGAACTATGCTCACGCACTTGCAGATGGATCGTAAATGCGCTGAAAGCCGATTGGAATGTTGACTGGGCGGATGAATGATGGTGAAAAGTATGGTAACTTATAATTGCTCTTTCTATAGTTTGTTTCGAGTCAGTTTGATGTTGTGGGTGTACATACAATTTGGACCCTATCCTCCCGACATCCTGTACATAGACTTCTTCTCTATCTCTCACGAATCAATATATCGTTGCATCCTTCAATTCCATTAAACTTCACTTGCAAATTTGACTAACCCGACCAAACGTCTTCCTGTAGGCGCTTTGCCTTTTTCATGTCTTCCATGACATACCGTTCCGCCTCCTCTTCAGTCCAATTCCGCATTTCCATAACAACTTTCATCAACGCTCGTCGAACCTCTCTGGCCATATCTTCGCTCCCGCAAATATAAACAGCAGCGTCTTTCTCCAACAATCCGGCAATTTTGTCCTTCACCTCTAGTAGCTTTTCTTGGACGTACACTTTCTTTTCGCCGTATCTTGAAAATGCATTGATAACCTCGAATCCGGGCAACGTCGCAACATGGTCTCTCCACTCATTTTCATAGAGGTAGTCTTCCGTTGGAGATCGACACCCGAACAGAAGTAGGCTTCCCCCGACAGGAAGCCCGCGCGCTGCCATCGCCGCTCGTTCTTGAACAAACGCCCGGAACGGGGCTACGCCGGTGCCAGCAGCAATCATGACGATGGGCCGTTGCGGGTTGGCTGGAAGCTTGAAGGTAGATCGCCGAATCCTGACGAGAACCTGGTTATTGATAATGCCGTAATCCGGTCCTTCGTCGAGCGGTTGCTGGCTGTTGCTGTTGTCGCTGCTATTTTGGCTTCGTTTGACTGCAAGCAGATAGTTAGAAGCAACACCGTGGAAGTGAGAACGCTGGAGATGAGCGCCGCAAGACGAGGCGAAGAAGGCTTTTCTTGTAATTGCCAGTGTTATGGCGGGCTGAAATGGGGACACGGATGGTGATGATGCAATCGAGTAGTAACGGGGCTGGAGCTTCCCCAGACACTCGAGAAGAAAGGTAAACGGTAGTTGATTCCAGACCTGGTCGCTAGATGCGAGTTGCATGACATTGGCAAGTGAAAGATGCCCTAAAGATACAGTTCTGTGGAACTTTGTTTTGTCCTTTGCCAGAGCGAGGAGATATTCTCCGGCTGCTGGCGTGGGACTGAACGCAGCCAACTGTCGCAATAAATCTCGAGATACCGGCCCAGATATATCCAGGTAGTGCCGTAAGACCGTTTCCTTTGTCGTTGGAGATGGGAAGACAGTGGAGTAGTTACCTCCTTGAAGTCGAGAATTGATCTCGATAGGTTGCGTGCGCTCCATTTCACCCAGTCCCAACAGACGGCAGAGACCTCGGACATCGGAGACTGAATTGTGCGGCCATACCAGAAGGTGATCTCCCGTCTGGTATTTTATCGAGCGGTTGCTGGAAAGATCGAATTCGAGGTGAAAGCATCTTCGGTCCAGGCCATTGGTAAGGACTCTCGCAGCGACCACTGCCGCCGGGATATTGATATTTGACTGTGCTTCTCTAGCCAGCATCACTTCTGTCTTTGAATCTGCAGCCACGACCTCCAATTCCGGTGAGTACACCATAGGTCTTTTTTCAACGCCAAACATCTCGCCTAAACTCTCAAGCATCGAATTACTCCATTCTAGAAAGTCCTCATCGGTAGCCGCCCCCCTCTTGGACTCGTCCGCTTTGCCTACCGTGCCGACTCGTCTAGCTCCGAGCTCCTGCAACGTCGTGTCAACCAGATCCACGATCTTGTTGTAATGTCTATAATTCCGATTCCCCAATCCAAAGGCTGCATACCTCAGATCAGTCAGAAGTTGCGTATTTCCCGTAGCACGCAGCGCTCTGAGCATGGAACAGAAAGCGACCGAATTATCCGTCGGGTCACCCTCGCCAAACGTCGAGATAACAAACACGATCAGTTTCGAGGAAGGCACCTTGGACAGATGCTCGTGATCATCATCATCCAGATCGGCCATTGCTACACGCAAACCAAGTCGCGCGGTGCATTCTCGCGCGAGACGTGCCGCCAGACGTTCGGCCCGGCCGCTTTGCGAGCCCCAGTAAACCATCACATCCGAATCCTGTCAGATGGTTAGCCTCTGATAACCTCTGTCAGTACGTCATTCCCCACTGACCTTCATCGTCTCGGTAATGTTCCTGCTCTTCTTTGGCAGCATTTTGTATCGACTCCGATCGCGAACCGGAAGGAAAAGCATAGGGTCGGGCTTGGGAGCCCAGAAACCCAATCCGTCGGTGAACCATGCCCAAATCGTTACAAATAGGATCACAGTCAGGATGTCGGGGATTCGGAGAGATTCAAGCAGAATCACTCTACTGGGAAAGGGAAGGCTGCTGGTTCCAGCCTTGAGCTCCATGGCGATCGCGACAGTCGGTGGCTGTTCTTGCTGTGTATGCTGGTGGGGACACAAACATATCTCCTATGTCTTATATATCTGAGCTTCCAATTATCATATCGATCATGTAAGTAGCTGTCAGGATTTGCGTGGAAAGGACCTTTGTCTCGAGACGAACACGTCAGCGGCTAAATTATATATCGGATGACCAATTCGTCTCGGTTCGTCTCGTAGTCGATCGGCACGAAATACCTAGGCACACGCTGCATCACAGGTTAAAGGGCCATAGCGGAGATCTTTTGACTGTCATAATGTCCGGGTCTCTCGGCAAGATCCAAGTAGTTTCAGCGACTGGGTAAAGTGTGGTGGACGCATTAGAACAGCACAGCGACATCGGAAACAGTGTCCAGGACTGTAGATCTCCATCGCCTCGAGGTGATTATACGCACTATTCCGCACCACTGTTTCGCCGGCATGTCGCTTGATCCTACAGATTTGTATTCATAAAGGCCATATATATGCAACCCCCAACGTCTCTCACATTTGTTGCTGACCTTCCTTCATAACACTGCAATTCCAACCCGCCTCGGATCCAACTGCAATCATGCTCAGTTCACCGGTCGTACTAATATCCCAGCTGGCACTTGCCGGCAGCTTCTTCGCTTTTCTGGTATTCCCTATCTACCGGTACCTTGGAGATTCGAAGAAGCTGAGACGATATCCCGGTCCATTCCTCGCAGCTATGACAAACATCTGGATCATGTTCAAGCACTACACAGGAACTAGGACGGACACAGTTCACTCTCTGCATCAAAAACACGGCAAGATTGTTCGTATCGGACCCAACTCCCTCTCTTTCTCGTCCCTGCAAGCAGCCAAAGATATCTATGGCCACGGAACAGCAACCTCCAAGGATAAATTCTACGACTCTCTGGCAGGTATCCACCGCCAACTGTTCGATTCGATTGATAAAGAGGAACATGCAAAGAAAAGAAAGCTCTTTGCCGCCGCCTTTTCTCAAAAATCAGTTGAGGAGAAAGAGCATAACGTGAACGGCGATATCTTGGAACTCGTTCACCAATTCGACCGGCTTTGCACCAACCCGCCCAAGCTTGGACAGAATGTTTTCGACGAGCATGAACTCACCGACGCTCGACGCTGGTTCAATCTGCTCACGTTGGACCTCGCAGCCGATTTCTCATTCGGGATCAAACTGGGCTTCGTTGCACAAGGCGATGACTTGACCACATGTGAAACCATCCGCGGCCATAAGTATCAGGAACATCCTGAAGCAGGCACCTATCCCAACCTCCAGATCATCTCGACCCTGGGATACGCTCGCCCGTCCCTTTTACACATTAACCGCAAACTGTTCGCCTGGCATCGTGGATGGAGAGATGGACAAGTCTTTACCGACTTTACCGTGCATTTGATTCGAAAGCGAATGGCGGCGGAGACGGACGGCGACAAACGCAACGATTTCTTCCAGGCCCTGAACTTCACTCGCGATGGCATGCCCACCGACATGGAACTGGGCGAGCTGATCCAAGAGTGCGCCTTGCTTATGAACGCCGGAAGTGAGACCACAACGTGCGCCCTGCAAAACATCTTTCATCATCTCATTCGCCATCCACGTTGCATGCAGATCTTGTATGAGGAGCTCGAGACCGCTTTTCAAAAGGAAGATGGGACGGTGCCTGCTTATGATAAAATCAAGTTCTTGCCCTACCTTCGGGCTGTGATCGACGAAACGTTGCGTCTTCGCCCAAGTCTGGCGGTTGCTCTACCACGCGTCACCCCCCCAGAAGGCATGAGTATCGACGGCACTCGGGTTCCCGGCAATACGACTGTCAGCGCCCCAGCGTGGACCATCCACCGGGATCCCAAATTGTTCGAGCACCCGCTCGAGTTTCGTCCAGAGCGGTGGTTAGCGGGGAATGGAGAAAAATTGCAGAAGGGCTTTATGCCGTTCAGTTTGGGTGCAAGAGCTTGTGTGGGCCGGAACATGGCTTATATGGAGTTGAGTCTCATTGTTGCGACCCTGGTTCATCGCTACCATTTCGCCCTCCCGAGCCCTCAGTGGGAACCGACCATGTATGAGTCGATGGTGATCAAGTCTGGCCCCATGCCAGTCAAGATCTGGAGACGCGCGAGCACCAGGGCAGAATGAATTCTTCCCTGTCACACAGGCTTTTTGCCAGAATAATTTTCGGGTTCCATGGTGTGTGTAATATTTCCTCTCAACTGACCAGCAGGTTGACGAGAGTCAATGATATTCTATTTATGGTGGACGTAAGCTATCGTGACTCTGGTTTATCTTCCCAATCTACTACCTATCAAGGTATCTAAATGTTTATAATCTCAATACACCGATGAATATATTTCCTCTATGCATGAAATGAGCTTGCTTGCTGGGCGACTGGTCCCTCTGCGACAACTCCAACCGGCACAGTGATGGGCCGATTGTAGAATCCATTGAGGCTGATAATTTGTTGAGTGATTTCTGTCAGGAATGGAGTCTCGCCTCAGACAACCGCTCCCCCGTGCTCTTATCTCCCTGCCTCGCGATTCCTAGATAGCTTCATTCACCACTCCACCTATATCGCCTCGATGGCTTCTTTCTCCCAAACCCTATTTGCCTGACGAATCCATTTACTTGGGTTTGCCTGGCCAGTGTGCTTGCTTCCAAAATTGAACGAGATACTTTCTATCCAGGTTAGCCGATCTCGAATCGGCGGACCGTCTCGTAAAGATTATGGCGTTTCGATTCCGTGACTACGTGATCCTTATTGCGGGTTGCAAACCCCCACGACTACTTCTTGCTTTTTATAAAGCTTTCAACCGTTTAAGCGGCAAGCTGTTGAAGGAGTCTTATTTTTTTTTTTTTTTTTTTTTTTTTTTGGGTGCGGCTTCGACTTGTGATAATGACAGATCCATTCCGACCTCTAGGAACGTATTCTAGAAGTGGCTTCGCTAGGGCATTCGTTAGTTCCATCGCATGAGCGTGATTTGCGACAGTTTGGGGCAAACAAAGGAGTTCATAGTCATCTGCATTATCGAAGACACAAATCCACTTCCCTTCTTCTCGTATCGCAGCCAATTTTGGACTAGTTCGAAAATGTTGGCTTTGGGTTCTCGACGGCCGGGTATCTTAACCTGATCTGCGATGTCCCAGAAGCTTTGCTCGAATCGGGCCTGATTGCTCGCGTGCACCCAAAAAACCCATGTGGCCGGTGATTCAGATCGGATCTGATATGAGTATTCGATGGCGAGTTGTGATTTTCTTCACATTGTGAGTAATCGACCGCGTCCTGGTCCTTTCATACTTACCCGACACCGCCGAGCCCAACTAGAGCTGTCCTCGACCCTGGAACCGAATAGTTCTCGCGTATCTGATCAAGCAGTGTTTTCGAGTGACAAAATCCCGGTCGCGCGCGAATGGTACGGTCGATGAAGGGTCAGGTGGGGTTTCTGGTCGCTCTAGGGTAGGAAGCGGTGGTTAGTCGGTCGGCTCTGCTCGTCGTTCCCTGACACCTGGAGCGGCATGAAATTGCCCGTTGATTGTCCTATAATTGTTTGCAACTTGTGCACCATGGTTGACGCCTAAAAAATTTGTCGATGCCATAATCAAACAGGTGTGCCTCGTTTGAAGTTCATGACAAGAGCCACGGTCTGGCTCTCAGCTGAAGGAGGGACACGTACTTTGTTTCTGGACAAGTGACTCCCAAGCGCTTAGCCAGGAAAATCAAGTGGCTGCGAGTACAGAGTATGGTGGTCCATGAATGGGGTCCGGCAACACCTGTTCCTAGGGGCGGATCGACCCGAGCCGGAGCAGCCCAATCAAGCACAGCCGGCGGCAACAGCCAGACCTATTCAGGTAAACGCGTAGCTTTGATCTCAACATCTCAAGAGGCTATCACCGCTCAACTTTTCTAAATGCATGTCATGGTCCACGCTCACTCGTTGCGATGGTTGGACTGGTGATTAATGTGCCTCGTCTTGTCATCCATCGTTTTTGTGAGGTCCGCACCTTTGAGAGGGGCCTCCAAGCTCCCAGGAACTCCGAAATCTCATGCAATTCCTAATACCCAGCAGGCCCCGGACCTTTCACACCCAGAATCTCTTCACCTGCTCACTGAGGGTGAACAAGGGTAAGCAATGGCGAGTAGACGGGTGCTCTACCGCCCTCCTGTGAGTAATGACTGCTCTCTGCTCTACGTTTTCTCTATCGTGGGGCGACTCACTTTCCCTTTAATACCGCCACCAGCCAGTGAGCGCCCGCAGATATCAGACGCATTTGCTGTACATCATGCTATGACAATATTCGGCGATCTTCGCGGTCGATGTTTCCTATCTCCCACAACAAAACGGTGACGTTGGCACGAGATCAATATTCAGAGCTTCTCAAGAAATTAGAAAACGACCAACCTGTTTGGGACTACAGCCTCGATTAAGTGCGGTATGCTGTCGGTGTTGATGACAATGGCTGCGTGTAGCTGACAAACATAGGTGGAATTATAATCCAAACGCTGGTCTTCTAGAAATTCGCAAGCCCACTCCGGTTCATGACTTTTTTGCCACCTCAGTCGCAGGGGTAGTAATTCTGAGAACCCTAGGAGAGAGTGCTACTTCAATTCAAGACAAGTCGCAAATAATACTCATCTCTGTAGTGTCTTTTTCGGCCGTATCAGGGGTGATGATAGGTCTAGAAATGATAGGAGTCCGGTGTATTGTGCTAGTAGTCCTTTCAGACTTCACGGGCCGTTAAAAACATCTTCTTTGTCTTATTCACTCTTGATGCACTCTTGACACAGATGCACTCTTGACACAGATAAGAATAGAGTGCGTAAGTTAGGCTTCCTGTCTGGAACCAGACCAGATCAACTAGTACCTGACATATCTGCCGCCCTATCCGTAGGCAAACTAGCAAACACGGCTGTCCTGGACTACCTAGGATGGATAGTATTTCAAAACAGCAGAAAACTCGTTTTGATCCTGCCTCTCGAAAGTAATGGAAGCCCTTGTAGCATGCGTCGCGGGGCTGTAACACCCTTCAGGTGCCGCGTGCGAATACTTGCCCCCCCTGTAGAATTCCGGATGCAGCTTCAGTGCCGTATCCTGCTCCCCCAGGTCCCACAGCAAACTACACCATGGTTTGTAATTGTGGATGCCCACGACGGTGGTGAATATTTCGCCGGAGGAGGATTTGAAGCGAAGCATTCCAGAGGTACCGCTGCCTCCCATGAACAGCACATGCTGACCGTCGTTCTCGGTCCAGGTGCATCCATTGGCATAGTACCAGCAGGTTTTTTCGACAACTATGAGGGCGTCCGAGGTGCTGTTCTCGATACGGAGACGGATAGTATAGGACATTGTAGCGCTGCAGGGGTCAGCATACTCCTGAAGAGCTTGGTGGCATACATACAGGATGCTGGTGTGACTATTATGTCAGGACCTGGGATAGCGTAGGAGTGCTGCTGGCTGCAGAGTATATGCTCAAATAGAGAAATAGAGTCTTGTCGAGTCAGGCGGAGGAGACAAGCTCCAATACTCGTGGGATATGGACGCTTTATATAACAAACGGGATCGTGATACGAAGGCTAATGGAGATACCTTCTCTCGGCTATTATTGACGTATAAATCTGTTTGCTAGTCAGATCGCCACCGACAATCCAATCGATGTTAGTGCTTCAGCGGCTTGGGCGCTGTGCTCTAGTGCTTACACCTACGTTAATCTCACGATGAACCATGGAGAAGTGGGTTCGGATATGACCGAGCCATGTGCCAATCTCACCTGCAGGAAATAGATCACTCGGAGCTGAAATGAAATAATGGCGTCGACGCATATACGGGAATGGGAGAACCCCGAGTCCGCGAGGGTGGCGTAAATGGTTAGTGTATACCCGATAGTACGAAGCGCCAGGACATGCCCTCTCCAAAGATGCTACTATCAGATTCAGCTCCAGAAGGGCGACGGAACTTGATGTCAGCATTATCATATAAACTCAAGAGGGAATGGCCGGGTCCGATAGTACGAGGCCTTGCCGTGGCGTTCCCCAGAAGAGAATCCTGCAGCACGGCACTTAAAATGTGGTAGTGGCTGAGGATTCCTGAGCTGAAGATATTAAAGTGGCGTGCTGACAATAAAGTTATTATGCCTGTAATATGCAGTTGATAAATCCCTCTCCAAAGGCTGGTGGGTGCTAGGGCCACTGGAGATACCGTACCTAGCTGAACTGATAAACAGCTCCTCATTGGAGTCGAACCATACGGGTCCCAGGTTCCAACTTTTAGAACTGGAACCGGACTAACTATCCTGCAGGTTCTTCCAAGTTCGCACCTGCGGGACCCTGCAGTACATAATTTTGCCAAGAAATTTCCTATTTTGGGTGCATAAATTGCTGATTTATCTTTTTTTATTAACGTTACTCTGATTTATATATGTTCTGGTCTCGCTACGGCCGTAATTTCTCCAGTGCATAATTAATAAGCAAAATTTACCGGCAGAATTTTGATTACGACCAAGTCCAACCTCGTTGTTGCATTATGCATAGCCTATGCAAGCCAATTCTCCATATTTCAGACATGCACTTTTCGAAATAATCATAAAATCTCTCAAGAGGGTTTATCAAATTCACGTTTACAATAGTCTAAATAACTTATGAGGGCTTGGTTGAAGGCAGGATTAAGAAAATATGTGCTGGCCTGCTTGGGAGGGGGAATGGGGGTGGAATGGAGTGGAAATAATCTCTGGCAAAAGGTAAGGAAGAATAACGATCACATGACCAATGGTCAGGGGTTATCATATGACTCAACGTGAAGGCCTGAGGGGTAAGGCATTAATAGATGGCCCCCAGAGGCGGTCAATCTTATGCATGTTTTAGCACTAACTTTGCTTATTAATTATGCACTGCGGAATGGCCCCTAATTGCTGCCGTAGTCTCGCCCTCTACTAGTCTTCGACGGTAGCTACCCCTATATGAAATTATATAAAATCGTCTCGTAAATCAATTATTTCGGCAATAAATATCACTTTGCCTTGAAATTCTATCTTTATTTTACTCTTCGTGGGTAGGGAGATAGTGTACTGTAGAATTGTAGGGTATAGAAGGGGGAAATGTATATTTTGGGGAGTACTGCGCCCACACCCCCATGATCTATGGCGACACCCCCTTGGCTATGGTGACACCCCTATGCCTGAAAATGCAGGTGGAATTTCATATTAGGTTTAGCGTGAGGCATAAAGTGACACCTTAGGCATTAATTTTCTCAAATCTCACCACTTTCCTGACCGCTTTCCTGACCACCTTCGTAGCCATCAACCGCCTACCAAAACTTACTCACCGCCTACCAAATTAATTTACACCTCGCTCTGTATAAGGAGCTTTCCCCTCTACAATCACCCTCTCAACAACTTTCTCTTCTCTACACCTTTCTCTTCTCTACAGAATCCATCAATTCATCGCTCAATTCATCGCTTAATATAGCAGGCCTAGGCCTAGAGCTGTATTACTTATCTAAGGAGGATATCCCTAGCAGTGCGGCTACCTATAGTGACCCACCCGCCGAGATCTATACCGAAGATCCCCCGGCTACCGAAGGAATCACCTGTATTACCTTACCTCTTCTACCTCTCGATAATTATTACACTTCTATAGAGCAAGCTCTTAAGGCTATCAACGATTTTGCACTTGACCACGGCTATACCGTAGTTAAGCGTAGGAGTAAGATAACTAAGGGCAAAAATAACCCTACGCTTAAGGTATAGCTTAAGTGCGATCGTAGCGGAATCTACAAATTTAGGATCGCTAGTAAAGATCGTAAGTGAAAGACCTCTACTATATTAGTGAACTATCTATTTAGTATTATCCTCCGACGTTAATCTAGACACTAGGTCCTTTCTATTGAAAATAAAGCCTATAACTATAAGCCCTCGCCCCCTACTACCTACCGAGTACAGCGCAGAGCCGAGCTAAATTAGAAGATCGATTAAATTCGTGGCTAGTTTCGCCTTACATATCCTAAACACTAAATTATAATAACTTTATATAATATACAGATAGCAAAACTTATCTTACACTAAAGAATATTAATAACGCACAGCTATAATCGAATTAGGAGTTCCTAGCTAGCCGAACACTAATTTAAGCCTTATTAATAGAGTTTCCGAGGGATAGGAAGTAGGTTTTTCGGTATATATAATTAATTTATAGCTAGGTATTACGCGTTGCCGACTGGTCACTGTGAGTTAGAATGTCAACGGGTTATACTTGCCTGATTCCAACTGCGGATTCCAAGAGTATCTCGCAACCGTACCGATACTATGCAAAGCCTTACGTCGGGTTCGGGTCCTGTTAAGTATCTTGCAGTACGTGCTAGAAGTGCGCGCTAAGTAAGTTAATTACTAAGTGTTACTACTGAGTGAATCCCCTACTTGTAGGTTGGGTTGTCTTAAAGGTGGTCTATAGTTAGGAATAGTGGATAGTATACTAGACTAATTGTTCCCTTAGTCTATGTAATATACCTAATGTCAATATGTGGGTGTGCGATACCCCGCACTGAGCGTGTAGATAAGCAATACACATCGGACCAATCGGATATCCACCACTACACGATACGATGATA